TAAGGAATAAAAGGTCAGTAATGGTGAACTGAATATTACTTGTGTGTGAACTTGTTATTCAAGGACTCTGGTCTTGGAAACCTTTATGTTAATGAAAAAAAGGTATAAATGTCTTGTCCTTGAAATATAGTAAAATAGGGGTAAATTTGCGAAAGTGTCCTTACAATCTTAAAAATAGGGGCATTAAAAAGTATGATTTTGTCCTTGTTTTGACGTAAAAAAGGGGGTTAGAATTCACAAAATGTCCTTGAAATTTACCGCGAAAGGGGGTTATTTGCAGTTGTGGTAACGGTCATACGCGTCACCCTCTGCGGGTGAGTGACCCCACCGGGGATGGAAGACGGCCGTTGTGTCTAATAAGCCACTGGTAACAGGGGGGCGGTAACTGGGCAGGGTACGGTACCAGGTAGTATTTTGTATTTATCCTTTTGTCTTTTAGTTACTAAAAGAAGCTTACGATTGTTGATTTTTTAAATGAGAAGCTTGGCAATTATTTTGATACATACTGTATTTTCTGCCGAAAGTGTTCCGTTTGTCTTATAAATGTTATATTTAATTGTATCTATGTGTAAACCTCTATCAATGGTACATCACTGTAGTCAGATAGATTTTATACTAATATGATATCGGACTACTGGGTACAGCAAATTATAGCAAAATGAAGTACTTTGACAACCTTTGAGGATGAAATGATGAAAGAATTAAATGATAATCATACAAGGATGCACTAGAGGCCAAAGGAGACGAGGTAGACAGAAGCTGAGATGGACCAACAGAATAAGACACTCATAGGCATTGTTTAACAATATTAAATCTGAGATGCATGGCCCTACCTGTTATCTGTGTATATATGGTGTAATATTGAAGCCCTAAACAAATTGTGCTTCAAGTTCAAAATGATCATGAAGTGCCTCAAAAAAGTAAAAAATCTTTGAGTGAACGGTTTTACCTTGCTCATTTCCCACTAAAGAATTGTAGTGTTAATATAAAAATTGTTTGGAAAACGGTTTATGAAATTTCGATTTCTAATCATAAATATCTTTATAATCAGACAGACGATTGGCTTGTAAAAGTCATGGGGTTCTTAACTAACCTAAAAGTTTATAATTATCATTGCCAGTATGAGCTAAAACGAGGATTTGTTTCAGAATCTGAGACAAAGACAGCCAATGATCCCTTTAACAGGTCTAACACCTAAACAAAAATAACAACATTCTTGGCTAAAGCAGTACAAATTAAGGAAGAAACAACAATCAAATTGTTTAGCAGAGAAATAAAAAAAACACAGATTTATTGATCATAATATACATGTATGAGAGTATATTCTTTTTAGGGATACGCATGACATTTTCTCAAAATCTGTAAATATAGTAAAAGCATAGTCCCATCTAACCAATAACACACAGTTTGAAAAATTGATTACTTTTGATTAAAGATATTTGATGATCCTTGTGCATTGACAAAATATCCGTCAAAAGAGATTTGAGATGAGAAGAGAGCCAATTAAAAAACAAAATTAACAACCATTTTGTTTACATCTTTTTAAACAATGTTTACAATGATATTAAAATTATCATAATCAATATATTTCTTATCACAACCATGGTGAAATCGAATGCAATAATGGAGGGTTTAAGAGGAATGGATCACCGTCTAAACTGTTATGAGAGTGAATAATGGCTTACAAAAGTGGTAAAGCGCATGTGTATAATATATAGTTGAGCTCTTTTTTTTAAAGCATAAATTCTTGACAAAGATAAAAACCCTTTCACCTACTATTATAAAAAAAAACAATAGTATTAGTACAAACACAAAATTTAATTTGGAAAACAATAAGTCCTTTAAAATCTCCTAAATTAAAGAAAAACTATATCCTAGGAGTATCGTTTGAGTTCTTCTTAACTTTTAAAGTTATAGATATACATGTAGATCTCAAAATCACTTTCTTTGAGATTTCTAAACAAGTCTTACACAAATAGAGTGGGACAGACAACAGAATGTTTGGAGAAAAATGAACGTAAGTGCATTGTTTCAGGAAACCATCACAAGTACAAATTTACAGACATCCTATTGAAATGTGTGTATTAAAATTAACACGCATGTCACTAGAATGTTGATAAACTTGTGACGGTTTCGTGAAACGCTACCCAGATCACTTTTCCCTCATTCAATGAATAAATTACATGAAAACTGACCACATTTCAGAAGACAGATCTTAATGGAAAAAACTAAAAACATACGGTATGTAACCAAACAAGACAAACTGAAAGATTGACGGATAACATTGAAAATTTCAATAGAGTAATGTAGATAACAAAAATTACACACGTTCCACGTAATATCACTAATTTTCTATCGTTCACAATTAAATCTAATCTAAGAGAATACAACCTTGAGACATCTGTGTTTGCAAAAAGGAAGGGGCTACTGTTTCAAAACAAAAAAGTCCCTTTAGCAAGACTGCTAAAATTACATCTCATTAAAAGAACTACGGTATATGATTGCAAATTTAATACATATCTTGTTAACGACAGGCAGTGGTGTATCCAGATATTGAATGTCTCTGATATATTTAACTTTTAAAGGGCGTCAGACCTGTCAATACGGACACCCCATCCCCCTCCTTTTCAAAGAAAGACACGATGCCGTGACGAGGACTCACACATCACACATGAATATAGATATTTCCAACATCCTAACATTCTTTCATTATAAATGGAGGCATGAAAATGTTCTATTATGTAATGTCTCTATCAGTACATGTACTTGAAAGTTTATTACCTGTGCTTGAATAACTATGTTTTATTCCACATGAGAAATGGAAAAGAAATACCTGTAGTAAAAATTTACAAAACCTTGAGGGCTTTTTAATATGGCATAGGATATTGCTTGGGCATTTTGTGCAATTGATCCATATACAGCACATTTGAAAGCATGAACTGGAGTTGAAAATTGCACAGATCTTCATTGGTTTTAAGAAAATGTTAACAGATTCATACAATGATGCATATTAAGAAATTACTTCTTGAAAGTTTCTGCTACTAAATACACTTAATCTCTAAACTTGGTAATAAAGCTGAATATATTGCAGAATTCAGTCACTACATCAAATATCAGCTCTCTTCATAGAATAAGAGAAGAAAGGCTAGAGTAATAATACAGTAACAGCGAAATATACAGATAAGTGAAAATATCATTATTTTTCTCTCAAATACAGACAGATAATATATACTCAATCAATAATCAAATTATCTTTTGACATTATATTCGTTCGGAGCCAGAAGGGCATTTAATTTGATACAGAGTCAACTCCCCTCTGGTTCTGAACAAACAATGTCATTTACTGTCAAACAGGTAAATAGGAATAAAACTTGGATAAGCATTTTTGACAACAATATTTCTGCTAGACTCTATCCATTTATGAATGCATAAGGAATCAAAAAATGGCTAACAGTCTGCATGATTGTGCAGAGAGGGTGGGGGGAATAATGTCTGAATAAAAGACTGCTATCGACTCAAGCATTCATGCTCATGATAGTTGGCCTCTGCATTTATCTTGATTCTTTGATCTACTTCCAAGTTTTCAATTATATATTTGTATCTTTTGGGGTGAATTTTAATCGTCACATTTTATGTAAATCAATTATATTACACAATATATATATATATATATATATATACACCGGTACTAATATTGTTATTTGAATATTTTGTACTATATTTTTTAATAAATGCAGAAAAATCTGCTTTTAAAAAAAATCAATAGCACTTCACCAAATTTTGTTCCTATTCATCCCATTTGACAGTACATAATTTGTCAGCTGCCTGCAAGAGGGCCGTTACTGTCACTGACAATACATACATACATGTAGCACTGACGGCCTTCTTGCAGGAAGCAAAAGGTTTTACCTTATACATGCACATACAGGATTGTACGACACTCATTGCGACACAACTCCGCATCAATCTCCTACTTTTCTACACTAACAAAATTCTTAACTTCAACATTGGACCCAACACTAAAGTTAACCCTACACCACCTTTGAGAAAATACAGCTCAGAGCGATTGTTGCAGGAACACATGTCATATCGCCACAAGGCTAGGCTATTCAGCTTGAATAGAAATATTTACATACACATACCGTATGAGAAGAAATACCTTGATCAATGAAATGACCTCGCAAGCTGACTAATATCAAGCCTGTAATAGGAAAATATCTAGACGAATAGTGAGTAAAAAGGAAATTTGATCTGCTAATGTGCTTGCAAAGTTGACCTTTAAAGGTTACATCAATCATTTGCAGACATAAGATGCGACTCAATTGAAACAATCCTGCATTAGATTCTCCCCTTCCTAACCCCCCCCCCCCCCCAAAAAAAAACAACAAACAAACAAAAAACAGCCATCCCTATTAACTTAAACATACATTCTTATGAAAGTAGTCATCTTCAGTTGCTTAAGTAATCAACGTTGATGCTTTTCTCATCGATTTAGCTGCTGCTAATACAGTCAAACCTGCTTTAGTGACCACCTGTCTACAAAGACCACCTTTCTACAACAAGCACATTTTTTTGTTTCCCTTGAAAACGGTTTCTCATTGAAACATGTAATAAAGGAACCCGTCTACAAAGACCACTTTTTGTGTTTTCTTGGGCGGTCGCTGTAAACAGGTTTGACTGTAGTAGTAATACTACAGACATTTTTATAGAGCCTTTTCATGAAGCAGACACAAAGCGCTTGTTTTATTTACAAATATATCTACATGTACCTGTAAGTACTTGATGTTCCCATCTCTTCTACAATGCTTTCTTGATTTCACACGAATAATACTTCAACTTGTAAAGGCACATTTCAACAAATTTAATTCAATCAAGCGAGGGCGCTATTCAGCTACAATCGACAAATCTGATAATCCTACGATTCCTAACTGCACTACCGGTAGTCATTTTGGGGCTTTTCTCGACTTTGGTGCTGTAGACTACTACATGTACAAAAAAAATTAATTTTCCAGTTAAGCCTTGTTCATAATTATACCTTTACATGTACATGAATGCTGTGTTAAATATCAAACTCGATGGTGTAACCAAATTTACAGAACTACATGCATATGGATAACCCACTTGGCTCAAAAGCATACACGATCCTCCACACCTTCAAAAGAATTCTGCCTAAATGTCTACTAATAACAATAATAATAACAAAAATAGTAAATAGATACCATAACATCAACATTATTTTTCGATGCCCCTTTGACAACAAGTAATAAATAAATAAAAACAAGAGTCTCTCTCTTCTTCGATGATTAGAGATTTCATTGATTATGGGCAATATTTTGAACTTGTGGTCGAATGGAAGAGGCTTGTGTACGGACGTTTCACAAAGATTGATCCGTAGCCATCATTCCACACAAGTTGAATTCCAAACTTCCACAAATTCCGACCTAAAACTCAATAGTTACCTTGACCGTATATCTCTGAGGAACTAAAGCGAAGGGCAAATTGCCACCAGAGCAAGTGTCTGGTCAACCTTCATTATAAATTATCTTTCTCATAATTTGTAAAGCAAAGATATTGATCAACTAATTGATTGTTCCAGCTATCACACACACATCGACTAACCAGCAGGCTATTGAAAGAGATTATAATAAACTTCAATCTTGTTTATCAACAGCTACCGTAATTAAATGCTCATCCTGATCATTACATCATAATCAGCATTCGGCCAACCATTACAACTATAATTAAATGGATTCGTATTTTAGTCCATCGTCTGGCCATGACATATTTGTCGGTGGGTGACATAGCAACCAATTTCATAAACTTTCAATACCTTAAGTGATACCCAAAACAACAAGAGCATGAAACCTCGTCATAATCTACGACTCATTTTTTTAAAAGGTCTCCCAAGTTTGAAAACTCGTCAAATGTCCATTGATGGACACACCAAGCTCTGCTACACTCTAAGCTAAAATTCTGTATTAAAGAGGCAACTCCATTGGTAAATGGAAGGTTCCTCTAAATCACATACATGTATAAACAATGCCGCTACTCCCCCAGCTGCTTGTTTTAAGCACCACGGCCTGACAAAAACAAGTTTTCCTTCTATCTATTCCACAAAATTGCAAGAAAATGATAATAATATAAAAATCTAATTCCATAACACAAGTCCATAAGGAATAGTGCTGTATTGCGACTCATTATTTTGAATGGGTTAGATCAGCATAGCATAAGAAAATGCATTTTAAGGCTTATTTGAGATATGACACGACAAAAGCGCTTCGGTTTTGGGGTGATGATATGAAGTGTATCACGTTTCATATTTCTGTATCTTATAACACATACATGTAGCTCAGTGAATATGTGCAACTCCTCTGTTGTGCACAATTGCCATTCATTTTAATACACGTTTTTTTTAATGCGGTGGCGGCTACAAAGCAAGTACTGTAAAACCAGAATCTTTCATCGCTTGAAATTTAAATGAATTTAAGTTTCATTTTTTTACAGTTTCTTTTCTTCAAGGTTTACATGTATGCTGGAAAATGACTTGAATCAATTCAATTGAATTATGGTTTATGAAAAACATGTTCAATAGTACATGGACTGAATTATACATAATTTACAAATATCAATACAGATTAGAAAACATGTAAAATTTTGCGATTGTCTAAAGTTTCTTACCACAGGATTTTGCTGTCATAAAACAATAAAGAGTCTGGTTTTACAGTAAACTGAAAAAAGATCAGTACAATAAATTTTAAAACAAAATATATGCCTATTTTCCTTGATAGATAAAAGCATGCATTATTTCTTTGCTTTTGGCTTCTGATCTGCTTTTAGCTCTTCGTAGACAGGCTTGAGCTTTGCGAGGAACTCTGTGTGGTCCCAGACGGTTGCTAGGAGTCCGTCCGGCGCCTTGGGGTCGTCCGCCCTGTCGTAGCTGATGGTCTCCCCCTTTAAGGTGGTCATCTTGGACTTCATCTCAGTCAGGATGGCGTTGCCGGCGCATATGTCCCATTTCTTGATGAGTGTAACGTGGATGTAGATGTCTGATTGGTCTTCTAGGAGGGACATCACTTTGTAACCTGGAGGAAAATATGAGAAAAACAGATGAAAGCAATCAGAACAAAGGGCACCAACTGAAGCATTTCTTGGTGAGCATGGTATGGATGTACATGTAGATGTTGGATTGATCCTCTAGGGGCGCGTTCATGCTTGATTTTGAAGGCAGAATGAGCGATTTGTAACGCTCGTCGTAAACGCTCATCGTAATCGCAGTTCTACGGTGCACTGTTCATGCTCACTTCTCCAGGCAATTCTCCTTGGGTGGCCTTCAGCTGGATTCGCAAACCTGTGTGCGCATGCTACGTAGACCCACTAGAGGTCAGTGCGTTGACCCCATTTAAACGCGTTTACAAATTGTAAACGCATCTTTTTGTGAGTTTACGATCGGCGATCGTGATCGCCGTTTTTCAGTGATTCTACAAAAGTGAGCATGAACGCAATCGTGTTTTAAACTAAACGCGTAACAGATGCCTGATTCTGGCCGTCAAAATCAAGCATGAACGCGCCCTAGGTGAGATGTCACCTTGAAACCTGGAGGAAGAGATGAAAGAAATCAAGTTTTAAGGGCAATAAAAGGTGAGATGTTGTGGACTAGTGGATAAGTCACCCGACTGCAGATCACAAGGTACTGGGTTCAAGTCCCACCGCGGCACTTTGGCAAGACGTTAATCTACATTTGCCACTCTCCACGCAGGTGTAAATGGGTACCTGATATGCTTGAACGCTAGTTACTTTTGGCAGCTTGGCTACGACCAGGGTATGTGTAAAGCGCCATGAGCATCAGAGCCTGACGGATAACGGCGCTATATAAATAACCATATTATTTATTATTATAAATATTATTTAAAAGAACTACATGTAGGTTTTAATCCAAATGAACTCCAGAGTTGAATCTTGAGTACGTTTCTAATCTACCTGATCAGCAATAGCATGTAAAGTAGACAGTCTACAATAGAAACTTCTGGGCCCCGTCTTACAAAGAGTTGCGATTGATCCAAATCAACCGCAAGTCCTCCAATCAATCGCAAGTTTGCAGTCTCCTGTCTCTTATGTATATAGCTGCGAAAGTTGCGATTGATTTCTACTCATTCGTAAGTCCTCCAATCAATCGCAATTTGCAGTCTCCTGTGTCGTATGTACATACATGTTGTAGCTGCGATTGATTTCTACTCTTTGTAAAACAGGGCCTTGGTCTTCCATATCTTCTAGAAGATGACTTGACACTTAGTTGCCAAATTTTGACCGCCCCAGCTGTTACTCGATACTAATGTTTGAGAAAGCAAGAGTGACATAATACAGCTATTTCACAAGGGAGATGAGAGCAATAGCAGATTGTCAGCTGTCACATTAAAAGAAAAGATGTATTCAAATGTCTTAAAGCAGGACTGCACTACTTGTAGCTACTTGCGCCCTCTACATAGCAAACAATGCCCAAGCAGTACCTGTTGGTCCCCCATGATCCTTTTTCTTATGTTAATTGAGAGCTGATTTGATGAGATAACCACCTGTCAGTGACCATGCAGGGAGGTCTTATCCCTCCTGGGGGGTGTTTCATCAACTAAAATCGATTTCGATTTTAAAGATCAATTTTAAGGCCAAATCAGTTTTAGCTTAAAACCGATACTTGTGAACTGTTTCATCAAATCGATTTTAAGCTAAAGTCGATTTTATTGATTTCGTGAAACAGCTCCTAAAATCGAAATCAATTGTAGGCCCTTAAAATTGATTTTAAGATCGATTTTAGGGTTTAGTGAAACACCCCCCTGGCCATACTAGTGCAGAAAATTTAAAACAAAGAGGGTTACATATTTCTTTTATTCAACAATGAATTTCAAGCAACCAAACTTCAGAACAGAGTTTGTAGGATAGCCTTACCAGCTCCTCCTGCAGGGTTGACCTTAGTGCCAGCTCCGAAGGTCTTCTTGGAAACTTCTTCCACCTGGCCAGAATGACTCCTTGACACGATGATTCTAGGGCTCTCCAAGGCTTCGGTATGGTGCTTGATCTCCTTCAGGTGTGCTGCGTGGCCTTTACCTACCCACGCCCATGCTGTAGAGGAAATGAGAGGAAGGAAGAGAGGGAGAGGGAGAGGAAGGGAGAAGGGAGGTGGGTGGAGAGAGGGAGAGGGGGAGATGGAGGCAGAAGGGAGAGGGGGAGAGGGAGTAGGGAAAAGGGAGAGGGAGAGAGGGAGAGGGAGGGAAATGGAGGGAGAGAATACGAGAGGGAGAGGGAAAGGGAGGGAGAGGGGAGAGAGAGGAGGGGGAGAGGGGAGAAGGGAGGGGGAGGGGAGGGAGAGGAGAGAGAGAGAAAGAGAGAGAGAGAGGGAGAGAGACAGGGAGTGTGTGGAAGGGGAGGGAGAGAGAGCGAGAGAAAAGAGGGTGGTCGGAGGAAGGGAGAGAGAGACAGGGAGGGGGAGGACGGAGTGAGATGAGAGAGATGGTGGGAGAGGGAGATGATTATTAAAATCATGGGCAATCCTACAAGTACATTTAAGATTACTTTGACAACATTTGCTCCAGGATGACTTCCATCAGACTGTCCGTTGGTTTCGATTTGCTTTGATTTGAATGTAGGGTCATTCCATGTCAAATCACCCAATGGTTTTAAGCCAACCATTTTTTATTTTGATGAAACTTAGTGTACTTAAGTGTGATCTCACAGCACCAAATCTCAATTTTAAGTCAATCGGGTGAAGGTTTTGGCAGATATGGCCCACCAAATTTTTAGATTTTTGGCAAAAATGTGGGCCTGCTTTCGAACCCTTGTATCTCAGGCACTAATGGGTCAATCTTCAGAAAATTTGTCTTGTTGATGACAAGTCACTTACTTGTCTTGGGTCCATTTTCCAGGAATGGTTTGTGTATGACTCCCATAGTCGGTACTCCTTTCACTGCTACACAGACCATTGTTGTCACATATTCTACCAAGTCCTCTGCACATGGGAATGACAAGGACACACCACAATCAATGTAAGCAAATTTCAATTCACTTTAATACATTTGTTAGACTGCCTTATTGAGGGACTCCTCAACCATACTCCCCAGGGAGTGGAGCATGTGCACAATCATGAGCAGATTAGCAATTGAATCCAATGGTTAGGGGGTAATAATAATCACAATTTTAAGCACCAAGAGACACTATTAAGCGTTATCAAAATGTGACTATTGTAATTATGATAAATACTCTAATTGGGAATTCTAAGTTGAAAAAGTATTTCAAAATTTTCCCCCTTCTTTCCTCATGTAAATAGATCTACCCTGTAGTCCTGTAACAATCCCCGCTAATTGATACAAAAACTAATTGTAGGAATTCCTACAGGTACAGCTTTGCAGGGGTACCATGTTATTTTATAATAACCTTTAATAAGTTGTGCAATCCTATCCTGAACTTAAAAGATAAGGAGCCAAGGTGGAAATGAATTACACTCAGAAAAGCATTGGCATTTATTTAGTTACAAAGTGATTGACAGATAAAAAGAACTGCATGGAAAATGTAAAATAAGGTCTGAATTACGAGACTATGTAAAACCGAAGCTCTTGTTCAAAATTGCGTTTAACAAAGGTATTTAGGCTGATATCTAAGTTTTCCTTCAGTATTACGTGATCTTAGTCACCGCTCTGGTTTATTAAATGAGTCTCGTTACCAGCAAGTAAAGACTTTGCATTTTTGCAGGCACCCAGTATACGGTACACCACATATTAATCAGCTACACTGTAGTTAAAACAAACAAAAATTCTTATGCACCGTAACCTTATGTATTATATAATGTGAGGGAAAAAACTCTGTTCATTAGCAAAGTGTTTAACAACCTGTTACAACTTACAATGCAATTAGGCAACCAAGGCAAAGTCTGCATAAACAAACATTTGAAAGTTTTATTAAATAAAGCACTTTGCATGAAACTGAAACTTTTTTTGCTCAATTTTGAAAGATGAAAAACTGTCTTAATGTCTGCAATATTTAGGAAGAAGTCTTTGAGCCATTATATTCAGATTTTATAGACAAAATACATCACACAGTATTCTCAACAGTTTTAATGAGGGTAGTCAGAAAAAAAACAATCATATTCCTCTGTACATACATACCGTACTTGTTTTGTAACTCCTATCAAATACATATTTATTTCTTAGATTATTTTAAGATTTCTTCATATCCATGCAGGTAATTATTCAATCGTAGAACCTGAAAGTTTCGAGTAGTAGAAATTTGCAAAAGGTTCATGCCACAATGAAAAAAAAGAAGAAAAAAAACAAACATTTATTACAACACAAAAAAAAATGAAAAGTCTTGTAATTTCTTTCCATGAAAATGGTTGTGATCAACTATTCACAAAAGTTTTACTCCACAAAAGTACATGTACATGTATAGATTGTATTGCTGCCACTAAAACTTGTCAAATTACAACTTTTGGGGACCTGACACTGACATGAAGCACAAGATCCCTCAAAAGCTGGGTTCCCATGGAGCTATAGTGTTCTTTAGATGGTCTCTGATGACTGTAATCTGAGCCAAACAGTGTGTATTTGGAAGTTTCTTCAAACAAATTTTTATAAATAATATTTCATAAATAGTCACAGAGTCATTTTTCCCCTATTGCATAACTTGTCACTGTGAAATGTTACAGCCATCATTTTCTTTCGAACCTGTCTCGTCATGAGTGAAACCGTGGCTGTTACATGTTATCCACCCCCCCCCCCATCCCATCCCCACCCTCCTGTCTACTTTTACCTCCTGGAACACTGTACCTGTATATTCTTGTGTTGCATCCAGAGGATCGACCCAGACGGTGATATCACTAACAGGAATCTTTTCATCTGATTGAATGATTTTAGATACCTCAGGAAGGTCCTTAGCCACAGGAGTCACCTTGTTCATGTCAAACACTTTATCTTCATGTTCCTCCGAGACGACCTAAGAAGGAGATAATCACAGTTTCAAGATTTCAAAGACTATTAAAGTAAATCTTTGAAAAGACACAGTTGAATCATTCAAAAGAAATCTCAAGACTTACAGGGTATTTGTTTTCTTTGTGATTGTTTTTGGACAAGGTGTTGTGTGGAGTTCTGTGGGATCTGAACGAGGTTGTGTATTGTATGAACCAGGCTTGGATCATGCGGTGCACACATTTTTTAATAACTTTGCACAGCTTTACACAACCAATTTACAGTGTATGCACTTGGAGAGCAAAATAATTATTAAGTTTTATTTACTAATGTAAAGCGATTTGAGCATGTTTATGTAAAGGCGTTATATAAATATAAAAATATATGTATGTACGGGTACATGTATGTATGTAGTTTCATAAAGCTAAACATTTATTCTACTTTCAAGAGTGCTGAATTGAGACTTTGTGAATTGTGATGGCAATAATTTTATTGGCAACTGAAACTACAGATCTAGAGATATCAAACAAAATGAAGAATATAAAGATGAAAATCTCATAAGAGTCACAAAATAAACCAAATCAAGCATGAACAAAAGATAATATATTTGGTGATTTGTTGTTAGATTATCAATGAAAATCATGTCTTGTCAGCCTGCGTCTGCAGGTCTATGCTGAATTTGACTGAATGCCAGAATGGAAATCAAATCAAATTATGACATTGTCAATACTCAGTCAATGACAATTGAAAAGTCAATGTCAATCACAAACAATGGTCAATGAATGACTTTCATTTAAAATTTAAAATCAAAATCAAATATTTATTTCAAAAATAGAGGATTAGTTTACGTACAAAAACAGATGGAAAAATCTTAAATAGGCATTTCTGCATGTTAACAGTACTATTAAGTTTTAGTTTAAAAAATTATAATCAAAATCAAATCATGACATTGTCAATACTCAGTCAATGTCAATCAAAATCACAAACAATCAAAATGGCCAATGAATTTCATTTAAAATTTAAAATCAAAATTATTATAAACAAAATTACGTACAAAAACAGATGGAAATGACTTTTGAAATCCAGATATAATGGCCTCATGTGACTTCATATCTCCGTCGGTTACTGGATTATTTGCTCCTTCTTTTGTCTTCCCTTTGCTGGCTTCGTTCAGCTTGTTCGTATCGCGAATCTCCTTCACCACCCTGCCGCCGCGCTCGGCGAGCTGGATGCTGGCAACAAGGAGCTGCTTCATGCTGACCAATTCACCCTGCTCCGAGCTGCCACTGCTCTTATCTTTTCCATAGAAAGAATTTCTGATGAGAAGAAGTGTTCCTCCGCCTAGAATAACAAGGAATATCATCCCAACGGGATTCACCTTGATGTTATTCATTCCGAACGACATTGAAAATTATGACTTGTCCTTTGAGAGAATAGATTGCCCTGCCGTCAAGTCAAACTAGCTAGCTAATTGTGTACGTGGTACATGTACGTGTTACGTTTACAGCTAGCTATGTGGGTACATGTATTGAGGATCCTAGATACATCGTCCTCAGATCTCTCAGCTCTTGACGAATCGCCAATCAACATCTTCCAGAAGATTATTGTCCCACGCGTAAAGCGGCGACACGGATCTAGATGGGAGGAGCACCGCAATATGTGGGCAAAATTGAAGGGCAGAAAAGATTAAGGAAATCTGAAAAGGGGAAAATAAAATAAAGGTGTCAAAAAATGTTCAAATGTATAATAACAAATAAATAATATAAAGAAATAAGACGTACAAATCCCGGTCCACATGCAGCTACATAAATCATGACGCTTAGAGACTTCGGTTAATGGGTCTATATAAGCACGGTTTTTATTATTATTATTATAATGGCTTGGCGTAAAAACTTTTAAGAGTATTAATAATTTATAACCATTTCAAATATTTTACGAAAGAAAAGGAAGGAGAAAAAGAAGAAGAAAAATCGACTCGGAGTGAAGCGGAAGGAGAAGAGGAAGACGAAAAAGAAGAAGAAGAAGAAGAAGAAGAAGAAGAAGAAGAAGAAGAAGAAGAAGAAGAGGAAGAAGAAGGAGGAAAATAAGAAGAAGAAGAAGAAGAAGAAGAAGAAGAAGAAGAAAAAGAAGAGGAATTAAGAAGAAGAAAAAGAAGAAGAAGAAGAAGAAGAAGAAGAAGAGAAAAGAAGGAGACTGAAGAAGAAATAAAGGGGGAAAAGATACTTATCAAGGGAAAGTATTCTGAAAACAATGTTATCTTTGACTTTTATGTTATCTATATGACTTTGTAAACATTTTTTTAACCGGGGTGCCGCAAAACATTTTTTGGGTGGCGCGAGAAAAATTAAGTTAAATTAAAAACAATATTTTGGAATAACGATTATTGCGTTAAAAATATAGAAACTGCTAACTTTGTATGTAATTTCGTGAGGAAGTAGTGTTTTAAATATAATTTTTTGTTGTTGCCTCCATCGCTTTACACGTCCGCTGATAACATTTTGTCTTTCGAGACAGTGGCGGATCTGGGAGCGCGGGGACCTTCGTGGCCCCAACTTGAACAGGTAAATTAAACTTTTTAAAAAAAATGGCCCCCTCCCCCTGGAGCAAGGGGGGTGGGAGTGGGTGTTGATTAGCCCCCCCCCCCCCCCCACCCCCCAGCCACATTCGCTGGTTCGCCGCTAAACATTTTCTCACGAATTGGGACCCCTTTTTTGACCCCTCCCTTGCCGCCGGCTGGATCCTACCCTGGGCCGAAAACTGAGGGGCAGCGATTTCTTTCCATGACAGGGGGGGGGGGGGGCCGGGCGCGCATATTTTTTTTACACAACTGTTTAGCCATTTTCGCGAAAAAAAATCCAAGAAGTGCTCTGGGGGGTGTTTCATCAACTAAAATCGATTTCGATTTTAAAAATCAATTTTAAGGCCGAATCAGTTTTAGCTTAAAACCGATACATGTGAGCTGTTTCATCAAATCGATTTTAAGCTAAAATAGATTTTTAGGTGTCTGCAATCAAGGCTAGTCAATTTGGGGTAAATCGATCACAAAATGGCCTTGCTTAACTACAGTGAGAGTCCTTGAAAAGTAAGTAAAATCTGTTTTTCTTTGAAAATATCAATTCTGTTGATAACAAATCTGTTATTTTGGAAGAAGAAAAGTGTTCCTCTCATTATTATGCAATTTCATTTTTGAGTAACTGAACGAAATCTTAAATAAAATCAATTTATATCACTCTCCAAGTGGACGAATTGCACCGGTTCAACCATTTCAGTCCCATTCATATAAATTCATGCAGGTTCAATAGTAATTACCTAGCGACGTTTATTATTCGGTTAGGACAGACAGGTACAAACTCATTAGATCTAGTCTAGTTTATTCTTGCAGTAGTATTGTGGTTTTACTAGTTATGCTACTAGTTGTAGATTTGGGCTTAGAATCAAGATCTAGGCCTAGATCTAGGCCTAGGCCCTATATAGACCTAGGTCTAGATCTAGACCTCTACTACTACTAGACTACTAGACCTACTTAGTAGGCCTAGGCCTACTAGATCTAACTTAGACCTATTCCTTATTTATTTTAGCATTTTTCTTGTTTTTGTTGATATAGATCTAGACCTAGGTCTAGAGACTAGTCTAGTCTAGGTCTAGATTTTCTAGACTCTAGATCTAGACTAGTCTAGCCTGTAGATCTAGGCCTAGGGTCTAATTATAAATGATAGATCTATTAGGCCTAGGGCTAGGCCTAGATCTAGGGCCTAATTATTAATCAATAGGGGGTCTAGGATTATTGTTTTGAAGGTAAAATTTTATGAAAGAAAATTAGACTCTAGATCTAGAGGTCCTAGATCTAGATCTAGAGTGTTACTGTCAGACCCAGGTCTAGATCTACTCTAGATGTAGATTTAGTCTAGAGTCTAGGTCTAGATCTACATGATACTTGATAGACTCTAGATCTAGATCTAGGGTAGATGTAGACCTGTAAGTGAGATGGGGGGGGGGGGGGGGGGGGGGGGGGGGTAAAGAGCGCTCATCTTTTTGTTTTAGGTCCCGAATATTTGAAAATCGCGCCGGCCGCAAATTCGCTCAGGGGGGGGGGGGGGGGGAGGTAACATTTATTTTTATTTGGCCGGGGGGGGGGGGGGCACGTCCCTGTTGGTCAGTACATTTTTGGAAAATTTTGCTGATTTTAACATTTTTTTTTTGGGGGGGGGGGGGTCGGGGGGCACGTGCCCCCTGTGCCCCCCCCCCCCCCCCCCCTTGATCCGTCCCTGGTATTAGGGTCTCTAACACAGTCCAACTCCAAGCCCTAGACTATACTAGAATTTATTTTTTTTATTTTTTTTATTTCAGAGTCGGACTAAAAGATGGAGTGGACCACAAGTCGTATCCACCAAAGAGACCTTGGCTTTAGTCCAAGACTCAAAAGTTCTCTTCTGCATGTCTCTTCAGTCTTGGACTTCTCATTCTTCCTTGGCCTCAGGCTCAAGGAAAGGGTTTGGATATGCAGAATGTACTCAAGCTCAAAGCTAGGTGTACAGCTATAGATCCTACTGTGCTAAGTGGCCTTGTGGAGTGATCTTCTTACTAGTAAAATTTGCACACCAATAATAAAACAAGGTAAGTTTTTTTGTGTGTGGTTCTTCTAGACCTATGTATAAATAGATTACTTATTTGTTGTTGAGTGTGTAAATCTTGATTTTCATTAAATTTTCTACGTACAATCGCAAACTGATAAATCCATGTGAGGGGGAAGTCAGCTATGACATGTCTAAATCATAGATAAATTACTTCATCAGCCAGCCTGATTAATAATATTGTACAAATAATAGGGCAGCAATTAATGAATAAAGAGGTGATTGAACAAACTGTAATGAGAATATATGTATGATGAAAGCTGCTCTGTTTGTTTTATACCTCTTTGCCTTCTACTCACGACAGGGGAATGTTCATTGAATCTATGTACAACAGTGTTTGGCTCAAGAGCAGGGTATCCGAGATCAAGATTAGACTCCATAGTCAATCTTCCAAATGTCTAAAACTTACAATTTGGTTGGTAACGATGTCTTGGACCGAATACATGTAAATTAATGTTGTAATTACTGATAAAAATGTACTTATGTTCTTTTGAACACATTTGATACAGTAACAATTACTTTTCTGAAAAATAGATGTGCTCTCTTCATAACAAATATATGTATCGCTGTTTTAAATCCTAGGTTGCAAAATAAAGAGCTATGGCATCTGCATGTACTGCTAGTTCATGACAAATGAACATTTATTGTCCATCTCTTCAAATTGAAAAGGTAAGCAGTATCAATTACCAAAATTGATCTATCATTTTTCATAATCCTTGTTAGAAGTCTAATACCCATCTTACCCATTCTGTTAGATAAAACATGGTAATGAAAGGATTTTTTTTATTTTTTTATCCAAAGCAAACAATTAATCATTTATCTTCTGTAACTATTTTTTATTCTCCTACTTTATTTATTTAGCAATTAAAGTATTTGAAATAATCATAAATACAAAAGTTGAAGATTGATTGAAAATTTGTACTAGTATTTAGTAATTGATTCATTTATTACATAACTTTCAATTCCTATTCTAGACTGCAGAGCCTGAATTACCTGCAACGTTAGGCTTCTTATGAAACATCAGCCAGCCTACAGATAGAAGCTTCCTTTTCCAGCTTTAAGCAAGAAGAACCACAATGAGATACAGATCTTGGTATCATGGACTGGATACTTTTTACAACCAACACTACTTGTAAAACAAGATTTACAAATTAATTCCTATAAGCTATTAAAAATGCTCTAGTCACGGTACTAAAATTTTGCCATCGAGTTTGAGGTTTTGGGTTTGATAAAATGTTAACATAAAATATTTTAAAGGAAGTAAACGTTTAATGATACTTTCAAGATTTCCTATATTTTAAACAGAATTTTAGAATCTTGCAGAAGAAAAGAGAAGACATAAAAAGCTATTATTCAGTCATGGAGGTTATTGTTACCAAACTCACGTTACATAGATAATTTTGTTCATGGCAATAAATCTTAAAATATCAAATTGGAATTTCTTAATTAGCAATTTATCTGAGCAGCAGTTTGATGACCTATTTGGAACTCTTCCTAGAGGCACTTCTTGCATGACTATGTATCGATAATTACCTGTTGGTGCATAAAGTGCTATTGTAGCAATTGCACAACAACAAATACAAAATAAACAACAGAACATTGTGATTGAGTAAAAACAGATTTTTCCTGCAGGAAATATATTAACTCTGACTTATGTTGTCCTTAGAATTTTTTGTCAAAGCTGATAGAAAAGAATTGATGATTAATTTCATATAGACAAACTATTGCATCAAGAAACCACATTCTCACCGACTGCGTGACCTTACATGACAATGTATATCATCCTTAGATTAACAACCGTATGAGTAACAGAAATATTTGTGACAAGTATTACTCTTTTAATCTCCATAAAGGTAACTCGAGTAGAGAGTGGCAGATATCAGCTGCAGTAGTTTTAACAACTGGCTGGTACTTTCATAGGAGCACTTTTATTTGTGTCATTTAAAATATTGTAATTGTATCCCTTGAATGTGTTTGCTATGCTCATCATTTACAAAATGTAGATTTCATTCATTAAAGCATAAACATATTGATTATACTTTAAAATCTGTGTTAATTTTATTTTGCATGTATTTTTTGTCTTTTAAGAAGATAAAAGGGGGGAGGATGAATAGATGAGATTGTACGCTAGCGCATTGTGATAATAATTACATGATGATAAAGGGCAATGATGTGATTCAAGAATGGTGTGTTTGTATGCTGGTGAGTTATTGTTATAAGTAGGTGTTTATTTATTCATTTTTGTTCTTTATTTATTTTTTTGTGGGGGGGGGGTGTTCATGAAGAAACAAATTACGGCAAGCAAAGCGTTGTGATGGGAGTGTCGTTTTATGTTAATGAGGGAGAGAGAGAGAGAATATGAAAGAAATAAGGACACATAATTGTAAGCACATATGGTAAAAAAAAATATAGAAAAGGGGCACATAACAAAATGGAAAAGGGTCACTTCTAAGAAGAAAACATAAAAAGTTATTTGAAATAACAAAAGGAACTTTAAAACAAAGTGAAACGGGACAAACTACATGAAGGAAAAGTGCACTTGTAATAAACTAAAAGGGATGTTAATCAGATGTAAAAGGGGCACTTAAACCCTATCTAGCATGAGTTATTTTGAAACTGCATAGCTTGGGGGGTCCGGGCCCCCTCCCCTGGAGAAAAAAAACGTGTAAGAACACGTTAACTGTACCTTTTTTTTTTTGGAGATGGGCCCCCTCCCCTGGCGCTCAAGGGGGGGGTGGTGCGATTTTTCAAATTTTCGAGGGCCCCCCCCCCCAATAATTTTTGTTTTATTGTTCACTACCCCCCCCCCCCCCCCCCCCCCCCCCACTGAGCGAATTATGGGCCGGCTGTTTCGCTGCTAAATATTGTCTCACGATTTGGGCCCCCTCCCCGTGCCGCCGGCTGGATAAGGCCCCCCCCCCCCCAGGCTAGATAGGGTTAAGGGGAAAACGGGCCGCCCATGTATTTTTGAAGAAAAAAATGGGCCATTGTGCTTCCCCCCCCCCCCCTCCAGAGTGCCACATTTGGTATTATTAGTGCCTAACTATGATGATTTTTAAAAAAAATTGGTTATGAACAAAGATTTGTTCCCCCAAGAACATAATTCTTCATTTTCAGATGTATGTTCAAATTGAAGCTAGCCGACACTTGCGCCTTTGAAACCAATGAATGCTGAACATAGCATATCAATAATGCAATGAATAAGGATAAAATTGATTTAAAATTGATATGGATCACACTCTAACTTAAAATCGATTTTAAGGCCAAAATCGATTTTATTTATTTAGTGAAACTGCTGCTAAAATCGAAATCAATTTTAAGCCCTTAAAATCGATCAAATCGATTTTAGATCGATTTTAGGGCTTTAGTGAAACACCCCCCTGGTGAAAGAGTCTAAGTCGTCAGCGCACTTACAAGCAGGTCAGTAGCACGTACTCTCCCAAGGAATGTAAAAAGATAGAAAGGGAAAACAAGGATAGTGGATAGGATATGGAGAAGGGGAAAAAAGGAAATACATAAGGAAAGAGAAGAGGATAAGTCAAAGGAAGAACATAGAAATACATAATTGAAGAGCTAAGAGGATCATAGATCTAGACTATGGAAAAACAGGGAAATACATAAAGAAGGAGAAACTTAATCTATATAAATCAGATTAAAACACAGAAATAGATGATCGACGAAGGAGAAGAGGATAGATTGAAGGAAAAACAAAGAAATACATAAAACAAAAGAGAAGAGGTTAGAATGAAGGCGAACAAAAGAAATCACGGAGGAGAACTGTGGGATAGAGTAATTGAAGGAAAAACAAATAAGCTAGGAGAAAAAGGATAGATTGCATGAAGGGAAAAAATGAAAGAAATACATGACAAAAGAGAAGAGGATAGATTAAAGGAGAACAGATAAATACATAATGAAAGAGAAGAGAGGATAGATTTAACCTACGGAGGACATACTGTGTATGATCGAATCTCTTTGTTTAACCCGAAACAAATAACGAGTAAAACTATGTAGACCCTATACACAATGTACAGCTCCAGCAATTATTATCCAACAAAATTGCGAAGGGTAATGCTAGACTCTGTCTCTAGTCGTTTGCACAGTATATTTGACTGAAGTGGCTAAACAGTGTTGTGTAAAAAAAATATGCGCGGGCCGGGCGAAATGCGGAGGAAAATCTGTCATTCCGCTGGTATCACGATGATACCAACGGAGTACAGATTTTCTGCAATATTTACTTGTACATTTTGAAGGATATTATTCAGGGGGGGGGGGGGGGTGGGTACTCACATACAAGGGTGTCGAACTGTCGATTTGTATTCGTGGTTGGGGGGATGATAGGTGCCAAAATATTTTCGGCAACTTTCAACCAAAGTGGTAGAAGCGTGTGGCAAGTTGCACCCCTCCCAAGCGCGTAGCCTGGATTTAATTTTAGGAGGGCGGTAGTGAGCACGCAAAGCGCGGTTCCTAGGGGGTTGGGTGCAGGGAGGGGGAGTTCCCCCCCCCCCCGCGCAAAGCGTGGAAGCTTTGACGTTTCACTAAATTATTAGAGAAAGAAGACGATTTGTTGTATCGTGTCCTTCATGAATTTAGTTTTCCCCCTACCGCGCGAAGCGCGGAAGCTTTAATGTTTCAATAAATTATTATTCTTAATCCTTGTCTGTATTCATTTTCTCCCATTCCGCCCATCAGTTTCGCCCATTCCATTTCTTCTTTTTTTTTTATTAAAAAAAAATAAAAAATAAAAAAAATCCAAAGGGGGGGGGGGGGGGGTTTAGGGGGGGTTATAGGGGGGGTTTTCATACCGAAAATTACCAAGGGGGGGGGGGGGTTAACCCCCCAACCCCCCCCCCCCCCCTGTGTACGCACCTCATTATGAAAATGAGATAGCAAAATGTGTTTGATGATCATCTTGCGAGTAATAACCAATAACTCTCATCGGACTCTCAACATTAATTTTTCTCTTCATTTAAAAAAAAAAAATTATGGTGAATTATTGGGGGGGGGGGGGGATGATTGTACAGGCCATCCCCCCCCCCCCCCACCTGAAATATTGGGGGGATATATCCCCCCATCCCCCCGGGATCGACACCTATGCTCACATATAAAGACCAACGGGGGTTTGCCACTCTATTGGGTCACTTTTTCACACAAAAATCCCTAAACATCGGTCCCATTTTTAACAAAAATACCATTAAAAATGTGTCTGTTTTTTCAAAATGTCCTAAATTTCCGGGTGTTTGCATGGCACACGAAGAACACCCTAAAATTATGAAAGATGGGCCTTAATCCGAGAAAAATGACCCTTAAAAATTGATATGGGTTTCGAGGCTTGAGCGGCAAACCCCCGTCCAAACCAAATCTGAGTACCCCCCCCCCCCCCCCCCTTACCGGGGATATTATGCGAGGGAGCGTATTATAGCGACCGAGCTTGTTTTTTTAATTCTATTAGTCTGCACTTTGGGCCCTCCAGAGTCTTTACCCATTATTTGCTTTACATTTTAAGTTTGCACTCTTTCAAAAATTTCGGAGGGGACGATCCTCCCCCCCCCCCTAAAAAAATGAGAGGGGCGTGTCCCCTCCCCCCCCCCCCCCGTCCCCCGGGATCGTCGCCCCTGGCCGAGACAATCATTTGAAGACTAAAAGAGAGAAATTATCAGAAGGTAAAAAAAAGGGGTAGTTTTGCCGCTTTTGCGAGGTAAAAAGTGGCACTTTTTTTTTTTTCATAAATGCTTGAAAAAATGGGGGAATCCGTTGCCTCTGATGATTTTGATTTTTGCCAAACCACAAATCTACCGATATTTTCATTGGACGAACTTGTCATTGACCCCTTTTAACCGCAAGAGGGCTAATATGGTTTTGCGTAAGGGGTGTGCATGCGGTTTATAAACAATCACAAAATCAAAACATTAACATGCGGGATTTCATGACAGTGAAGGAGCTTTGAGAAGATAGACGCTGCCTCTCTCCAAATTGTTCGTGTTCTAGCTCTTTACATCCATCTGATAAAAACATACATCCAAGGTATTAGAGTTGTTTCATGTGGATATCCGAAATTTCGATCGAGGTTCAGGCCGATAATCATGAGAGGCAAAGCCAAATCGTTCGATGGTTCGGCAGTTTTGTCTCTGGCTGCAAAGGCCGCAGGGAACATATTGATCGTTGGAGAAAAACTCAGGTTGGTGGTCACTTTCTATAACCCAAATGATCTTCTTTAAACTTAAATATACATGTACTATTTACTTTTTCCCTTAGAACTTAGAAGTTGAGAAGTTACCTTTGGGAGAATCCTATCATTGAATGCCATACTCCAATAGTTCGCTTATCATGATGATGATTTGATTTTCTTTACACAATAATCCTGATAATTTCCATGAAAATAAGATAATAAATTTAAAGGTAAATGAGGAAATTATACATTTTTGTATTTATTCTTATTACAAAATACATACATGTCAAGGCCATTGCATGTTATGTCACTGTAAAAAAAAAATAATTTAAAAATAGATCTAATCGATCCATCATCAAGTTGGCTCAATAAAATGACATCTGGTGGAGATTTTTAACCGGCACTCATTTTTTAAATTGTAATTAACCCTGTAAGTTGGGGCTCTGATCGGATCGGAAGATCGGAGCGACACCCTTGCACCTTTGATCGGTATCGGATCGGAAGAGCGACAAAAAAAATCGGCCGATTTTTTTTTTTTTTTTTTTTTTTTTTTTTTTTTTTTTTTTTTTTTAATGACGAAATTTTTCAAGTTTTTGGCTATCAAATGCTCAAAAAAAGTTCATGGCTGGGATTATTTTGTCATTTGGAGTTGTTGTAGACCATGTTTGTTGATATTTTGTGCCTTTTCATGACTTTGAAATTAAAAATATTGGTCTAAGAGCAGAGGCAAAACATGCGGGCCGCCATCTTGGATTATAATGTAGATCTAGGTATTTTTTTTTTTTTTTAATGACGAAAACTTTTAAGTTTTTGGCTATCAAAATATGCTCAAAAAAAGTTCATGGCTGGGATTATTTTGTCATTTGGAGTTGTTGTAGACCATGTTTGTTGATATTTAGTGCCTTTTCATGACTTTGAAATTAATAATATTGGTCTAGATCTAAGAGCAGAGGCAAAACATGCAGGCCGCCATCTTGAATTATAATGTAGGTAGACCTCTATGCATTATAATCCAAGATGGCGGCCCGCATGTTTTGCCTCTGCTCTTATGCAAGGGTCACTCTGTGGCCTGGACCCACCCTCCTCAGAGGTCGCCAAATATCGACGTCGACTCGACGCCTAAGCCTGACCCTGACCTATTTGTTGTTGTAGTGAAGTCCTAACGTTCGTTTTTCTTCATTGGGTGAAGCTTTACTATACAAATTGATGAAATGTGTGAAGCTTTGACGAGTAATTTGTTTTTTCTGGTGATGTGACATCGAATCCAATCGGTCGCCTTGTTTGTTCAGGTGATGTGACATCGAAGCCACTACCGGTCGCGTCGAAAATATGTCGAAATCATGTCGAAATCGTGCGTTTCAAAACAACTATTTAATTTTTATTCCGGTCACTCATGCACTCGCAGAGTGATCGTCCTGAGGTCACCGAACTTTTCTCCAGCGAAACTGATTTCGAGATTTCACGAGATCGTTTTCGAGTAGTCTACTAGTCTCCTACACATAACTAGTTGCGTGAGTATTCGCAGTATACGTGCCTGAAAGGCCAGCCTCAAGTCTGGAAACGAGACTAGTAGCCTACGAGCTGTCGGTATTGTACCCAGCATGCGCAGCGCAGATCGTGCCAAGTTTTGGCCCCAAGTTTTTGCGAGGTGAGTTGAAAAAAAATAGAAAGTTCAGAGTTTTCCGATCATTTTGAGACGTAGACCGAATTTTCCGTCTCTTTCGTTCGTTAGCCTCTTATTGGGGTAGGGTCGGCTCTCTCTTTAGAGACGGAAGCCGTTTATACACATGTCCTTGCTAACGCCACGGCCAGTTCTGGTCGTAGCGTTTTGCCCCCAAAATCCCCCAAAATGTCATTTTACCTCGAGCATGTTATATTGTAAATTAGGCCTAGGCTATAATAAATCAGTTCCACTTACCAACTTGACTGAAATAATCAGTTTAATAGTCCCTTTTTAGGAAATTATGGGTCAAAATCGAAATCCATTTTGAAAATCTTTTTCAACATGGATTCCGATTGTGACCCATAATTTCCTAAAAAGGGACTATTAAACTGATTATTTCAGTCAAGTTGGTAAGTGGAACTGATTTATTATAGCCTAGGCCTAATTTACAATATAACATGCTCGAGGTAAAATGACATTTTGGGGGATTTTGGGGGCAAAACGCTACGACCAGAACTGGCCGTGGCGTTAGCAAGGACATGTGTATAAACGGCTTCCGTCTCTAAAGAGAGAGCCGACCCTACCCCAATAAGAGGCTAACGAACGAAAGAGACGGAAAATTCGGTCTATTTGAGACGGTACTACTCCGACCCTGTTTTACGATTGATTATTAACGAAATCTGTGCATAAAACTTAGCCTATATTTTCGCGAGATTGACTGGTACTTATTGAGCAGTATGGAATTACTATCATGACTATAGACCATTGCAGTCATGGTCTACTATTATAAGTAAACATTGGTGGAGCTTGATTTCAAAACGTGAAGCTTGAAATATGTAATGGCCAATATGGTGAAACAGTGGTGAAGCTTGAACTATGCAAATGGCCAGTATGGTGAAACAGTGGTGAAGCTTCAGACCGGCCGAAAACTTACAAAAGTGAAGCCTCACCTATGGAAAACTGACACAAGTGAAGCCTCACCTATGTAAAACTGACAAAAGTGAAGCATCACCTATGCAAATAATTCAAAGGGTGAAGCCTGGACTAACACATTTGCTGATAAGAGTGATGCTTTGCCTTTGTTTTTTGTAAAGCACATGAAGTGATGGTGAAACCCTGAGGTTACAAATAATTGGCTCAGGTGAAGAAAGGTGATGACCTGAGGAGGGGGGGTCCAGGCCACAGAGTGACGCCTGCATTAGACCAATATTATTAATTTCAAAGTCATGAAAAGGCACTAAATATCAACAAACATGGTCTACAACAACTCCAAATGACAAAATAATCCCAGCCATGAACTTTTTTTGAGCATTTGATAGCTAAAAACTTGAAAATTTTCGTCATTAAAAAAAAAAAAAAAACCTAGGTCTACATTATAATCCAAGATGGCGGCCCGCATGTTTTGCCTCTGCTCTTAGACCAATATTATTAATTTCAAAGTCATGAAAAGGCACTAAATATCAACAATCATTGTCTACAACAACTTCAAATGACAAAATAATCCCAGCCATGAACTTTTTTTGAGCATTTGACAGCCAAAAACTTGAAAATTTTCGTCATAAAAAAAAAAAAAAAAAAAAAAAAAAAAAAAAAAATGCCGATTTTTTCCCGATCATTTTAATTGATCGGCGATCGGAAATTTTTCGCCGATCACCCCTGATCGGATTGGTATCGGCGGCCGATACCTTGCATTTTCATTTTTTTTTTTATTCTGTAGGCATGAATTGAAAACCTCAGGTACCTCTCTAATTCAGGACAGACGACACAGATTGAGAAATTACCAGAGATGCTTTGTGGGTAAAGCCGTCGTTGACTGGATCGTACAGCATGAAGGCATCAAGGATCGAGCGAAGGCTGTTGAACTTATGAACATCCTACAGAAGTACAATATTATACATCATGGTACGTTTAACAGAAAGAGATGCTGCCTGTTTTTTAGATGTGCCTCTGGCTTTAAAAACAGATTGGGTTCCTTCATCTTTATTTTAAGCCAAGGAGAATTTGGACAATTTAAATTGGGAAATTCAATTCGATAGTCGATGAGTTAACTGTTTGGTTCTACAAAAGGCTCTTGCTTAAGTTGTCATTTGGGTTTTCAATTTGGGCAATCAATACAATTAAGGAGGTTTCCCAATTTAATTCTTTTTGGTTGTAAATGCAGTGCTAGTGCTCTACATCAAATTAACTTGAAACGTACAGTTTACAAATGAAATATTAATTTAAAATCTATAATGTACATGTGGTTGTTCAGGTATCATCATACCATATTTGATAAAGTAAGTCAATTACTACAAGTAACCGACCTCTAATTGTAACTTTGCCAACTTCCATCTTAGATTTGCGCAGAGTGTAGTGACCTTGTCCCTGAGTAACCTTTCTTATGTACTCCTCATGAAATTTGAATTCTTTGGTTTCTTCTAAGCCTCCCCCCCCCCTCCCCCTGGAATGTAATTAGCATGACTGTTCTTTCTTCTTGTTGACATATTCTTTCTGCTGTATGGAGAATGTGTAATTTATGGATGCTTCTCCTTTTTATAGCTTACAATGGGGATGACTAGATGTTATTGTCTTCTACAGGCAGGTCTACTTCTGTCAATAAACTTGGGAAAGCACCTTGGGTGCTATTGTAGGTCGAGCTTCAAGGTCGCAAAAACAATCCAGTTTACACATCTCCTTAGTAGGGGCAGTTACACTGTCATCCAAACACGCCAAAAAATGCCAAACCGGAGCCTGGCCGCGATGTTACCAAGGGCAACTACGCTTTACCGGCAGACATGCCAAGCCCCAAACATTCCAAAACGAAGTGTGATCTTTTGGCGTGTTTGGCAAGTATAACCGCTCGCAGTTGTAACATCGCGATGTTAGGCACGTGACTTCCGGCACTTCCGGATTGTTACCCGCGCTCTTTTAAACCACGTTCTTCCCGTGTGATATTTATAGCATTTCCATCGTCGCGCGTGTTATCCGTTCATTCAGCTCCGTTTGTTCCAATTCCGTTAACTCATCCTTTATTCAATCTTCGTTATTCCCGTCTGGCCATATCTGTCTAGTAGTAGTATTTGAGTGTTTTGTTAGATTAATTAATATGGAAGTGAACAATTCCCATTGGACTGATGATGAGATGAAGTTCTTGATTTCGATGTGGAGGCAGGGAGAGCTCCTCCACCAGACTTCCAAGCGTCCCTGCAAATGTGGGGAAAAGGGCTTCAGAGAAATGAGTGAAAGCATGAAATTAACAATTAACAACGATGATTTTCTTAACCTTCCCATATCGTTTTTACTACTAGATTTCGATTGAATTTGGGAAAACTGAATCAGCAGCCGTAGTCCGTACTTCGTAACTTATCCACTCTTGCCTCAAATACTACACGCGAGATAAACAAAACATAATTATCGCATGCATGCGCATGGGATGTATCGCTATTTAGCTAGCTATAGCGCTAGCTGGAAATTGCGCGCGCTAAAAATCTTATAGCAGGCCGGGGTCAAAGGTCGGGAAGACTGCACATGCGCATTACCAACCGAAACACGCCAAAACATCGCTGAACAGCTCCGTCGGTGATGTTTCAGCACAAGTGTAACCGGGTGCACGAAACATCGCGACTTTTCAAAATGAGGTATTTGACAGTATAAATGCGCCTATATATTCAAATATTTTTTTTGTAAATGAAATTCAGGTCTGAATACATTTCATGATCCATGTTCACATCTGCAAGGTTTGAATAGAAACCATGTGCATAGATTTTGGGAGGAAACATAAAATGCTCTCTTATCCAAGTTGTACTCCCTCCTTTTCTTCTTATTCAATTTAAATTATTGGATATTTCTGCTGACTGTATCATTGTCAATTCACCTGTTACATGTTAAAATACATTTTTGTATCACCTGTTTGATAAAGACTGTTTTATACACTGTATTGAAATGTATGGATGTTTATTTCCTGGGGCCCTAGTGACAAGTTCATTAACCTGTTAAAAATGAATGAACTACAATACTTGGAACCCAGTCTGCATACATTATTTGTTGTTATGTCAGGAAAACTAGGGCAATCTTTTAGGTTGTCAAGAACAATCTTTAGTTAGACAATATGCAGAAAATGTCAATGTACACATTAGCAGACCAGTGTATCCAGGCTTGTTAGCATTCATGCAATGCCGATAAACCCATCTAACAAAGCAAATTTCTGAAAGGCATCCCTTCGCAAAATGTTGTTTACTTGTTATGTTGTTTTTATTTGACCTCATTTATCCCTGGGGCATTCACCCGTTCACTTCACTGCAATAGAGTTGAAACATTTTTGTTTTGTTACAATTATACTTTTGTGTGCACGAATAGTCGGGTGTAGATGCAGGTTGTAGACATTCTCTGCTGCTGCTATGCCTGTCAAACCTCAAACAAGACATCTGAAGAGTCACAAAGCCAGGCTTTAGAACCTTCTTGTGAAAGGAAGGAGCTTGGGATTTGAATAGAACATTATTGAGGGCCTTTGACCTTCCCTTGTATGATGCCTTCATCACAATTTGACCTTGGTACTACATGTATTTAGACTAAAGTTTATCTTCTGACTGAACATTGTCAGTTGGTCATTCAACTTTGAAAGATGTTTGCCCATGTTTATTGTTGGTATGTTTGATACTTTGAACTTGCTCAAAGATACAAATGGTTTTATTGGCTTGCATTGTTCTGGAATTGTTTTTGGATTTGTTTTTATTTGTCAAAGATACAAATAACTATGTTGGTTTCATCTGTAATTTGTTTAGTATTATTTATGTATTTATATTTTTTTATTTCTCAAAGATAAAAAATTATTTAAAGGCGCGGATTGCATTTCGGATTCAAGGGTTACATGTCGATCTAGGTTTCGTGGGGCATTGGTCCAAGGATGAAGTTAGGAACTTGAGTATTTGACTGATTATCAGTACAAATCTTGCGATGGAATTTGTCAACTTCCTCCTCCCCCCCCCCCCTTTCCCTCGAAATCCTTGATTACAATATTTTTGTCATTTTAAGTTGTTTGTAATTTACTGTTGAGTATTTGGTTACTAGAATTTGTGTTTAGGAGAGTTTCATTCACTGTGCAATGAGAATATTTGATCTACATGTTTTCACATTGTCAATATACTTGCAGGTTGACTATCAAATCCTTGTTATGTTTGTTTTCATGCTAAACACTTCTATCTTTCTTTATCTTTTAGTATGTGATGACCATCTATTCAAGGATGAGATGCTTTTCTACAGGTTTAGAGTCGATGACAACACTTTCAAAGACAACAGAGAATCAAGATCAATCGTTCATGGGACAGCCATATTCCACAGGTAAATAGTTAAAGTTTATCAAATTCTTTGCATTTGTGACTTAGAGAGAGATTGTGAATATTGCTGATTTAATTATTGGCTATCCACAGATAATTTAGGCAGGTTAATGGAATGAAAACATCATTAAACATGGTGTGAATAAACGTGCTTGATACATTTTGGTTAAGTAAAAATGGCAGCAATGTAGGGAAAGCTCAGAACAAACCGTATTCAGTCATTTGTGAAAAAATGTAGGAGATTTATCAAAATATAACATGTACAAGTTATTATATAGATCTTTGGAATACTCCCAAAAATGTACTCAACGCACAACAGGATATTCCTGTTAAGATGTTAAGAATTTAATTAATTGTTTTAACATTGCTATGTATTTCCAGTGCTTTTATTGTATAAACTGAATGTAATTCAGCTCTCTGGCTGCTGTTTTCAGTATTTTTAATGAACCATTCAACTCAATTCAATTCAAGAGTGATTTCAATCGAAGACAATTGATTGTCGGAGCACATTGGTATTGTAAATCTTTAAAAAAAGTTAAAATATATTTTTCCTTGATAGAATAAATATGGTTGTCTCATTTCCTCTTCCTTTGTTTAATACAGAGTCACAAGTGAAACTTCTTCTAGTCCCCTGCTGAAACCACATACAGAGTTTGGACACAAGTATGCTGATGTGAGTAAATTACGTCTTAATGAGCAATTAAAACATACTAATTAAAAGTGGTGTCAAATACTGAATGTGCAGTTGTTAAGTAAATTGCCTGAAAGTTATTCTTAATAATGGTTTATGTGGTAAATGTATTTTATTACCATTCAAGATTATTGTGCAACATGGAAAGAAACCTATAGTTTGAGAATAGAACGCTTGACAAAACAGGATACCGGATCTGGAACATGTATTATATAGCTTTTTGATTGATTGTAAGGTTAATATTGAGCGCAGTCTATGGCTGATCTTGTATTGATCAAACTTAAGATCAATCATAACTATTTATAAATATGTATTGTGAGATTTACAATTGTCCTGAATGCAATGGATTGATCACATTGTGCTCAAAATCACGAACAATGGAAAGGCATAACTCAAAGATATTGTTAGATATATAAAGACCGCACAAATATATGACAGAATTTTTGTCCAAAGTTTTGAAATATATTTCCAGTCATCTTAAGATCATTTCAGGATCTAGAATGGGAAACACTTGAACGCAGAAGGGAAAAAAGTTGTCTAGTTATGTTGTATAAAATCACCAAGGGAAAGGTGGGTCTAAAGCAAGAGGACTACATTAAAGTATTAACAGGGTCAAGGTTAAGAAGAAACCAACAATGCTCAATAGCCTAATAGAAATCTCTTTTGCCAAAAAGGATGTGTATAAATACTCCTTTTCCCCCCGAGGACTGGACGGGCGTGGAATGCTCTCGACCAGCAGTCTGTCTTAGTCCCATCTATTGAGAACTTTAGAAGCACGCTTTAGCATGCACCACCTGCCATACAAGTTAGTGACATGCGGATTTTAGAAGATTCTGAAGAAGGATCATTTCAGGATGAGAATTGACATCATAATAAAAAGAATATTAAAGAAAGCGCTCGTTTTATTTTTCACCTCTCCGGGTGCTCTCCCTTCCATTAATTAGCACTTAAAAGTAGTAATTCAGACCGATATACACTGCAAATGTAGATGATGAAAACCAGACCTGAACGTGTATCCTGTTAACTTTGTCAAGTGTTCTATTTTTATATAGGTTTCTTTCTATATATATATATGTTGTGCAACAATCTTTGACTGGTAGAGCACATGTTACCTACTTATGGATACTTATGAATGCATGCTTAAAGGTAAAGACCAGTATTGGAAATGCCCAAATTCCAAAAAATGAAATGGAAGCTCTTATTACCATCATGTGAAAGAATATGTTTTGAATAATACATGATAATACAAAATTTGCCAGGAAACCGCCTACTATTTGATATATTTGGTAAATTAGTTTATTTATTGGACTGTGAGAGATAAAAACGCATGTGTGCATAGTCCCATATAAATCTTTCTGTGTACAGTGCTTGTAACTTTATGGAGACTGGGCCAAATTTCTTATCATTTTGATGATTCCAAAACCTTGCAGTACATCTATGCTAGATGAACAACCTTTTGCTGATCGATTTCACAACGTTTCTTTCACAATGCAATCGCATGACCAAAACTGGTCTTTATCTTTAAGCCTCTTTATTCAGCTCCAAGTTCCTTCTTTGTGTTAGGTTTGCTGGATCATGACTGGATGGATTGGCGTCAAATGTATACATTGCAGGTTCACTTCTCTTCTTATGTTGTCATATATCCTCTAGATGCACACTGGAAATACCAAAGGGAAATGTAAAAAAAAAATGATTTTGAAAAGATGTGAAAAGGGTATTTTACATGGTATCAGTTATTGAATGTTATTTCCATTGTGTAATCATTTACTATAAAGCAGACTTTTTGTAAATTAAACATTCACAATTTTGCAAATGGTCAATATTTGTGAATACTTTATGCTACAAAATCATTTAACAGACAATTTCTAATTTCTGCTGTCTCCACATTTTGTCTTCTTCTTTCTGTCTCAATGACAGTTAATAAGTCCCAAAGGTTCTCTGATTTGTGATTTGAAAGTACTGAGAAAAGCAGAACAAAGTTGTTACTAAGTCAAAGAAAGTCCTACCAACAAAAGAGGCAGACAAATTTCTCGCTCGCTGGTTGATAGTAAATTAATACTCTGTGAATGATTATATAATATTGGATGTCTTTGAGTGTGAAACAAGAATATATTGTCATACCAAGAGCAATATATTCTTGTATCACATGAAAGTAACGCTATATAATATTATTATTATTATCCATATCAGGCTGACTAGCGAAATAACAAAATTTGACTTACCTCGGTAAATATGGCTTAGTTTATGTGTGATATCGATATTGATAGTTGAAGTTCAAAGTCAAAGATATAAAATACCCTAATTATTTGTACCACTTGGAAGCATTATATACATGTACAGGTAGATAATAATATTCAATAAGTGATCTCCTGTAAAAAATAAAAATTTCCACTTCCTTTCAATATCAATTTCTTACTATTTTTTTCCCATAAGTATTTCCATCGTGCATTTAGAGATTAAGACAACATGGAAAAAAACCTGTACACTGTAAATAAGAATAAAACACTTGGAAAAGTAAACAGGATACGTATCAAGCCCAATTTAGACATTTAGTTCATCTGTATACGAGAAAAGAGTAATGTCATGTCATATTTTTGTTTTACCTTCAGAGTTTCTATGGTGCAGAGCTTGTATCGTGGCTGTTACGGGTTAACACATGTACTTCTAGAGAAGAAGCAACAAGACTTGGTAAAGATCTCCTAGAAGCTGATATCATCAGACATGGTAAGTCATTTGGAGTCATAGGTAGGCCTATTTAGACATGACACGGTATAGAGTGGTGAAGTGTGACGTCATCAAAAATCTATTTTTAGAATTTCTCAATTTTTTCTTCATTTTCAATTTAATATTTTACTCAGAGTATATAACACTGAGTTCCCATAATAGGATATATATTTATTCAGATGGTTATATCTCAGCCAATACTTAACATATTAAATTGGTTTTCGACATCTGGACATTATTTTTGATGCTCTTTCGGAAAATGAAGAAAAAAATTGAGAAATTCTAAAAATAGATTTTTATGACGTCACAGCTTCGGTGCTCTATACCACAGAGTTGCCAATTTGTGTTTCATCCAATTCAAATTTTGTAAAATTTCTTATTACTATTCTCTTTCAGATTTTCTAAAACTCTCAGCGATCTCTTTCATTCTCTTTTTTATGAAACCAAGGATGACGCCAAGGTGGGATATCCCTTCAACAAACCAATAAAAAATAATACATCTACAATATATAGGCCAGTACGACACTTTAAATAGTAGACCCTGTAACTGTACTATTTTTGTGCACATAACATAGTCAAAATGGACCATCAGTTAACAGACGAGCGTCTCTTGTATCAGTTGAACCCTGTCATGACTGATCTAAAGACGCTAGACCAAGAAGAACAGATAATATAGTGGCTCTTTGTGACCCTCTTTGTAATCCTTCAATAATATAAACCTTATTACTTTTTTGTCCACATGATACAGTTACGATGGACCATCACTTCAAAGATGAGCGACTCCTCTATAGCTTGAACCCAGTCATGACTGATCTAAAGTTGATGGATCTAACAACGCTAGACCAGACAAGAAAGTGGATCTTTGTGACCCTCTTTGTAATCCTTCAATAATATGAACCTTATCACTCTTTTTGTCCGCATGATACAGTTACGATGGACCATAACTTCAAAGATGAGCGAATCCTCTATAAATTGAACCCTGTCATGACTGATCTAAAGTTGACAGATCTAACGACACTAGACCAAGAAGATCATACAAGATTGAGGATCTTTGTGAGTCTCTTTATACCCTATAAACCGTATCACTTCTTTTGTCCACATACAGTTACGATGGACCATCACTTCAAAGATGAGCGACTCCTCTATAACTTGAACCCCGTCATGACTGATCTAAAATTGACGGATCTAACGACACTAGACCAAGAAGCATCAGAGGAAGCATCTGGATCTGGAGAGGCAGCTATGATGGCGTCGCTAACGATTCCAAGAGATCTTCAAAGAAAGCATTCAAATTCAACCTCCTCAGGTAAGCCTTTCATCCTCTCCTGGACCTGGACCTAGACATGGACCTGTTACAGTCCCGGGACAGTCTTGATGTTGTAAATTTGTAAAGGCTTGAAACTAGAATGTCCTGATTTTTTAGAAAGTATACAAGTTAAAATTCTAGCTCCTCGGGTAAGCCTTTATAGTGAATCGGTAACATTGCCTCAGAGTCTGAAACAAAATCCTGGATTTGGCTCATGCTGCAATCATAATTATAAACCTTTAGTTCAGTCAGGAATCCCATGACTTTTAAAAGCCGATCGCCTGTCTGATTATCAAGATATTTACGATTGGAAATCGAAATTTCATTTTTTGTTTTTCTAACGGTTTTTATAACACTACAGTCTATCGTGGAAGATGAGTATGGTAAAACCGGTCACTCAAAGATTTTTTATTTTTTGAGGCACTTCATAATCATTTTGAAGTGCAATTTTTTAGGGCTTCAATATTACACCATATCACAGACACTGATAACACGTAGGGCCATACATCTCAGATTTAACATTCCTAAACAATGCCTTTAACCCTCAGTCCTGGGAAAGTCTTGATGTTATAAATTTGTAAAGGCCTGAAAATGGGGTGTCCTGATTTTGTAGAAAGTGTTCAACTTTTTTTTGTCATGCAATGTTGCCTTTCTCAGATATAAGTGTACTTCTCCTCATTCTTACATCGTGTGCTCCACAGATCTCTTATGTTACATGTGTAAGAAATCTTTTGTTACTTTAACAAAATATTAGATTAGTGAAACATAACATCATCTGAGCGGCAGCGAACGAACTAGATTGGCCTATTTTGGACTCTCCTTACAAGGACTGCTGGTATGAGCAGCTGTCAATAATTATCTGTTGATACCAATAAGTGCCTATTGTTGGCAGTTGCACAATATATACAAAAGAAACAAAAACGGAAAAACCCAAATATAATATCACAGTGATGAAAAACCATAGATATTTGTTGGCTATCGTATCCATCTACATGTATGTATAAAAACCATAACCTGTGTATTGTAGATTTTCCTCGCCAAAGGGTTTACTTTCCCATACTCCCTTCAGAAAAGTAGCATTTTTTCCTAACCTCCTACTGCCCCCTCTCACCACAAGAGGCCATGTAGCAAGTTTACCCTTAGCGATTTTTATTCCGAAATCTCCCATGAACATAACAAATTATGAAGACCCGTGCATATCCCCCGACCCCTCACCAATATGCAAACTGTGAATAAGACTCACTATGGCCATCAAAATATAGGTACATGTACATTGTTTGTACATGTATGTCTTACTCCGATGCTGTGTGACTATGGCAGTTTATATTTTTTCAAACTTTTCATTTAATATTCAAACTTTAAAGACACCTCACTGGAGAAGGCATCAATGACCGGTTCAAAACAAGACATTGGAAGCCCGGACCAGAACCATAATCGGTTGCATCTGGGAGGACCCTCCAAGGACCTGGACTCGCCAGACACTCCTACAGCCCCCATCTGTACCAGAAGCTGGGGATCCTTCACACCCAGTGAGCTCAGGCATCCTGAGAGTCCCTTCGTCAAACGACAAATCAAGGTAAGCTTCACAATCCAGATACAAATTTTAGATTCAGATTTTATTGTCCACGTTAAAAAACACAGAAATTTGGCCTCCACTGGCAGGAGATAACAATGAATAACATAAGAATACATAAATATGCACGAAACGAAAACAACAATTAGATTAACAAACAGTTGAATACATTCTGACAAAAGTAAGAGGAGATAGCAGAGTAAGATGAGGAAAGAAATGAAGGAAACTGAGCAAGAAAAGACAGGAATGTAGGTAAGGGGAAGAGAGAATAAAAACCGCTTGCATAACACGTTATTATGACTCCAAACATCTGCTTTACTAAAGGTAAAAGGTAAAAAGGTAGTTCAATGGAAGTACCTTTATGGCTCAAACGCTGCCAGGTATTAGGGACATATGGGTACTTACACTCAATCTATATTGAGACAAATAAATTAAAAAATAAATGAATAACAACAAAAAAGCAGGCTCATGCATACTGACTTGCTATAGTGTACTAATTCAATGTTGTTGTTTTTAATTCAATGATCAGGCTCAACACTGACAGGCCTCTGGGACTCATTGAGGCAGAAAAAACCAATGTCCAGAGCCCCAACCCATTAAGAAATTGTAACATTGGCCTAGTGCATAAAGATCCTAAAAAAAATCAACCTGGACCCCATACCTGGGCTCTGTTGCATAAAACTTACAACTGATGGTAACTTTGCCATCAATGGCAACTACCATGGTAACAGGACTCAACAGCCAATCAAAATCAAGGTTTCCATGGTAGTTACCATTAATGGCAAAGTTACCATCAATGTTAAGTTTTATGCAACGGGCCCAGAAGAGAAGTTAAGAGTGGAGTCTTGTCTACGGCCCTATGACAAATTTTGACTTTCCTTATTGTTGGTGTAACCCCCAAGTATGTTCGTGACCAGTGTCCCTGCCCCCTCCCCCTCCCCCCCCCCCCCTTAATGATTTTTGTTTAAATTTTTTTTTAATTATGCCAAAGCTGATTTATAGTATGATATTGTTTTGAGCTTAATTACTGTTTATTTAGATAACTGTTTATGTGGATGTTGAAAAATGGAGAAGGAAACAACACTGGATAGTTTATTATAACTTTTGGACTGGGTAAATTGGATGCATGTTCATTAATCTTACTTACCAACTTAACCAAACTTAATAATTTTGATTCTCAACATCACGATTCACTTTGATACATGCATAAATTCTTCAAAGGCAAAAAGAAAAGATGAGGGAGCCTATTCTCTCTCTACGTGCCGTATCATTTGACTTTGGCGATCACGTTGTTCCACAACCCTCGGCTCCTAGCCTTCTGTATTAGTACCACTCCCAGTTCTTTCACTCCTCTCTCTTCCAACAATTTCTGCAGACTGTCCATCCAAAGTATCCTCCTTCTTCCCCTACTCCTTCTTCCAACAATTTTCCCTGTCAAAGCACGATTCTCTAGGCCTTCTTTAGGGAAACCTACATGTATTATTGGATCTTTAACACTACCTTTTGATTCCCCCTACAACAGATTGTAGGAGACTCTGTTGGGTTTGGTCTAGTGATACGTGGAGACGGTCCAACCTACGTACAGACGGTAGATCCTGAGGGACCCGCAGCTGCTGCAGGCTTAAAGGTAAAGGCCCGAAAAAGGAGGTTTAAATTCAACCCATAGTTCAAATCTTCATTTACATAACCCATGGTCTAAAATACGCGTGACACAGTAAGAGGTCCAATATAAGACGCGTGCAAGGCAATGTACCGTACGCTTATTTTACTCTAATTTTTAAACCATGGGTTATGTAAATGAGGGTTTAAACCATGAGTTAAGTTAAACCTCCTTTGTGAATTCGGGTCAATGATATTAGATCCCATTTAGACATGGCATGTTAAACCACCTTTAATGATTGAATAAAATAAACAAGAACTGGTTTGTGAGGTCAGATGCCAAAGGTCACAGGATAATTGATCAGTGAACATTCGTATGAGGTAGTGTGAGGCATGTGAAAAAATGGTGCTAAGGTAGTGACTTCAAAGCTAGATGTACAATTAAAGATGATCTGAAAGTTTGAGTGAAAACAGACCATTATTAATGATAACAATTAGGGAAAAACTGATCTAATCGATTCCTTAATCCTCCCAACTATATTATTATAATTTAATTACATTTTCGCGCCTCCCAACAATTTAGAGGGGCCATAGAATGCCACACAATTTCTTTGTGATTAAGGTTATAAATAGTGTAGCCACACACAAATTATTTTGTATTTAGGTACATAATAATTAGTACACTGTAAAGGATACTACCTGCCTGTAAAGACCAATTTTCCAATCTCCACTGAGCAGTCTTTATTCACAGATTTCACTGGTTCGGTCTTTTTGATTCTTTCCCCCTCACAGGTGAAAGAATACCTGGCCGTTGTGAACGGTATCGACGTCCTCGAAATGAACCACAACGCCGTCGCCAAACTCATCCTCGCAAACCCCTTCGAACTCTCTCTCGTAATGATGATTTTAAAAGATAGCGTCATGGGAACTTAGTTTGACAGAGTGTGTCGTGGTGTAGTGTCATGTCAGTTGAGTATTCATTCTCAGAATTCATTTTCTGCAATGTGGTCGTCGATCCCTGCAGTAAGTCAATGGATATATTCAATACCGGTATACATCTGTATATATTTCAAATTTACCTCAGTTTTGGTATTGTTAAAGGATTTTTAAAATGGATTTGTGTGATCTGGGCCCCGTCTTACAAAGAGTTACGATTGATCCAAATCAATCGCATGTCCTCCAATCAATCGCAAGTTTGCAGTCTCCTATCTCTTATGTACATAGTTGCGATTGATATCAACTCTTTGTAAGATGGGACCCTGTTGATTTTTTATTTCTATCTATGATACATGTAGATAGGTAGGTTGTTCCTAGGTTGTGCAGGAATGCTTGTTTTTCAAGAAATCACTCATGTGGTGTATGTTTCTGAGATGCAAGGAGACTCGGCCATGTCAGATCAAAGATAACCTACCATCTGAATTGCAGTCTCCGTTTTCAAAAGCGCCAATCTTGAAAACCGTCGAAAAATGGGGGCAAAATTGTTCCATTTGAATCAAGGATATCCCTTCAAAATGCCCTGTTACCCTCATCTTTTATTTCATATTCTCATATTTCATGAAGCGCAGATGATTTTGTACCAAAATGTTGGTATGGATTCTGCTTCAAAATTGTAGGAATCATTTAATGTGAAGAAGGCCTAAATTGGTTTGACTGGGAAACCTGCCCGTGCAGGGGACTTGGGAGCAGCACCCCTAAATTGCCCTACTGTTCCGATAGATCCTATGTTCCTGGTGCAAAGGAGATGGGGCTAGGTCCATTATCGTGAGGCCCCTACTTTTATCCCAAAAGTCACTGGTATCTTGTTTTTATCTTATCTTTTTATTTTTAGGTGGGTTTTATTGTGTTTTTTTTTGTTGTTGAAATGTTTTTTGTTCATCCTTAATTGCACTTAATTACTTGCCTGTAATGCGATGAGAAAATTTGTTCCTTTCACAGTTTGACATTGTCCCAAAACTCTTTCTCATGCTGTTTTCAGCCTCACCATGTCATTACATGGGTAAATCAAAAAGGCATTATTGCAAAAATTAATATGGTACAACAAATTCATGCATTTCCAAATACACACACACTAAAAAAGAATCGCCAATAGTTACTATTATTACTTCCAATTTCCACAAGTATTTTTTTTAGATTTCAAGTTTTTATGGATGATTTATCTTTGAAAGGTTTTTTTCTTAAAACTTGATGTATTCAATTATTCATCTACTTACGATTGAAAGAAAAGGTGAGATAATTTGTTCGTAAATAAAACAATGCTTTCAAACAATCACTTTTCTTGTTTCCCTGGAGTAAAAATTATATACAGGTTTCTTTTTTTTTATAGATATAGCATTTTGTGAGCTTTAACAAAATTGATAGATGAATCATCCCTCACAAACATTGAATATCCTCTCTTTATGATATGTGCAGTATAAACATATTTCTATGGTTATGAGCTGTTTGCATATCAAATGTACATATAGATAGATCGTTGTATTTTAATTGAATGGTAGGTTTGTATATTGGGTTCTATCTATAAAAGCTTGATGAAGTAAAATCTTTTTTCTAATCTTTTGCTTGCATATTCAGATATTCCAATGAAGCAATAGGCTATTTTTGTACTGTAATCAAATTGAATGCATAAATCTTTGTTCAGTGCCATGTTACAAATTATTTCAGTCAGCTGTTACAAATAATTTTATTAAAAGTCAGAACGTGAACTGTATACAGTATTTGCTGCTAGGTAGGACAACGTCGTACCTGTTTGAATCTGGGAATTCAATTATTCACAACAAGTTAATGAAAGAATTTGTAACAGGCACGTACATGTAACAAAGATTTGTTTATTCAATTTGATTACGTTACAAAAAAATGGCCTATTACTAGCAAGAAGAAGCAAAAGCTTGTTATCTTGTGCAGTATGATATTTGATAATGGTAACATTGTGTATATATACCTCAGAATACTTGTGTTTTATTTTGTGTGTTCAACAGGAAAGATATATTTAACATTATTTTGTTTTTTATATAATCATCATCATGTTGGGAAAAATTTTATAGAAATGCTAAAAGCATCATTGAAGGTTAAAAACAAGGGCTTAGCTTCCAAAGTACAAAGTTTTGAGCCATTATATGAAAGAAAATGAAAAATATCTACCGTATTGCATACTTCTCAAAGTGCATACATGTAGCTTCATCATTGAAGGTTAAAAACAAGGGTTTGGCTTCTAAAGTATAAAGTTTTATTTAGAGTCATTATATGAAAGAATAAGAAAAAATATCTATTGCATTCTTCTTAAAGTGCTTAGCGTGTAATGCTTGGTTTTTAAATGCTGTTCACAGTTGTTGTATTTTTGTGTTTTGTCAGTGTGTGTATGAATGAGGCTATGAAAATAAAGATTTTTACATCTTATCGTTTGTTTTGAAAGCAACTTCAGTATATTTTTACCTTGTGAACTGGTTAAATCATTTGTGTTGTACTGTACATAATGCCTCTAGTTCTCTGTGGCATATTGTATTGTGATTTTTAGCCTTGATTAATTATCAATGATTCATGATCCATGTCTTCCATAAGTTTTCTGTAAATCTTGCAAATCCCATGATATTAAAGTACAGTGGAAACTTGTTATAAAGAGGTCTTAAGGACCAAGGAATTAACCTTGTTATATCAGGAATGTTGTTATATCAGAGTAAAAAAAACCATAAGAATATAAAGAGCTGGACCAGCAAAATCACCTTGATATAACAGATACCTTGTTATATAGAGCTCTTTATACTGAGGTTCCACTGTATAGTATGTCTGCACTGATGTACTCATATTTGATTAAATTATGTTAAAATCTCAGGTAAAACTACTTTGACAAAGATAAACATATGTTATTGAAGTATGTACATGTAGTTATTTCCCCCTGTTTTTATCAAAAACCAGTGGTGCCAAGTTAATGAGTTATATGAACTTTATACTTGTAAGATTGGGAGTTTTAATGTAAAGAATGTAAACAATCTTTGCTGTCTGTAGTATGCAGATGAATAAATAAACCATACAAACTATGAACGGTCAATTACCCATTTGTTTGCTATGCTAGGATGTGTATAAATACAAAATGCATTCAAATGTATACATGTTTATCTTGCGAAAATCTTTTTCATTCACCTGTTATGTATCACTCACATGTATCTCAGTAGTCGGAATGCAAATACCATGTACAATAGTTGTTGCTTGTTGGGACAACATTATGGCTTGCCTACCTAACAACATGTAATATATGCAATTTGCATTCTGACTATTGATAGAAATACAATTATTTGTAACACAATGGTGAATGTAATAGTTTGTATGAGGCACTTTATATAGACATATGCATTAAAGGTATATAGACCAGTTCTGGTCATGCGATTGCATTGTGAAAGAAATGTTATGGAATCGATCACGAAAGGTTGATCATCCAGCCTATATGTATTAGTGTGTACTGCAAGGTTCTGGAATCATCAAAAGGATAAGAAATTTGGCCCAGTCTTGGTAAAGCTACAAGCACTGTACACATATGGGACTATGCGATATCTATCCAGGCCAGATAGATCTGATGATTTACCAAATATATCAATTAGTATCATCACGTATTAGTCAAAACATATTCTTTCACATGATTGGTAATAAGAGCTTCCATTTCATTTTTTTTGAGAGAGGGGCATTTCCAAAACTGGTCTATACCTTTCAATTTGGTTCCATTATGAACAAGGATGGTGGCCCATTGTTTGGCTACATGTGCATTCAAAATTGAGGGCAATAGTTATTTCAGTGCACAAATCATAACTCATAACATCATAATGCAGATTATTTTTCACAGTACTCAAAATTCCCATGAACTCAGGTTGTGTGGCAAGCAAAGTTTGTATTTTTATATCCCCTTCTCTTCACCCTGAAAAAGGAAATTATTATTTTATTCTCTGTTAATTGTCTAATCATTAGAATCACATCATGCTACCTGATATTAAAGATACCTTTAGCAAAATGTAGTGTCACAAAAAGAGGTAGGGATAAAATGCAGTTTTTAAAGCTTCTACCAACCTTGAATTTTGTGGGCAAGCTTTCGTCCACCCCTGTGGACTTTCTCAAGCCAAGTGACCAATCACACGTTTACTTAAATTGTTTGAAATATTTTAAAGTTGCAAAATAATTATAAACAAGGGAAATAATGTTGAAGAAACATGGGCTTGTTTCTTTCATTTTGGTATAATTGCTTTTGCTGTTTGGATCTTTTTTCTCTTCAGATCGATTTGTTAGCAATTTTATCATTTCCCAGGTGTGTTATTGGGGACATGAATATTAATTTACTTGCATTTAGACGTTATTTCTTGATTGCTTTTCATACTTACTTAGATTGTGTTTTATTCTCTTCTTACAAATTGCATGTGTGTGAAATGGATAAGGTATGTTAAATTCCACTTTCTTCCTCGAACACAATCGATTGTTTCATCAACTCCCAAAGATGTATTGTTTTTGTTGTTTGTTTTTTTCTATTATAAGGTATTTAAAGCAAAGCTTTTCATGATAGTGTTTTTAAGGTTTCAGTAAGAGGCCAGGGATGTTCAAAATTTTCAATTGAGAACAGTTTTAGTTCAATGCATTATTGCTTGCTGTGTAAGGGTAAATGCATGTGTATAAGATTGGATTGATTATCGTCTTGCATATCAAATCAGTTGCAGAGAGTTGTCCAAGCAGAAAAAAATGTCTTTATGAAGAGACCTGGAATTTCTGTTGTGTCTTAACCATTTGTTAGCTAATTATTTTGTCACACCATTTCAGAAATGAGTCTTTACAGTTTAATGCATTTTTTTAAACATTGTTGTCAAAATGAATGCAATGTATTCAATTACATCACGATTTAAACAAAATGTTGTATTTGCAAACACATGAAATGATTGTATTCTACAGCTCCTCACATGATATTAGATGCCTAGTAACATTTCTCCAGTTCCTCAAAATGTATTTTAGAATAAATAAAAATTTACGGAATTAATTGATAATTTGCTGGTATAATATGTTGTTCCACAATCAAAAGGTGATAGAGTAGTGGTAAATGTATACAATATTGGTGTCATATTCTCATTAATATTATGTAGCTGTTTAACCTTGTTTCATGTACATAATGGCATGTGGTCTTTTTACAAAGTGTTGTATTCTTACATTCATGAGGGTACTACAATACATACAAAATATTATTTTAACCAAAATTGTGAATCAAATTTGTTATTTCGTTTCATATTCATTCAAGGGCAATCCGGCTATTCTAGAAACAAGTTCATTTGTGTGTGAGAGAAGAGAGAAAGAAAAATAAGAAAAGCAGAATAGCGAAAGTTTGAGAAAAATGCAATAAGAAATTTATGAATGTTTGGAATATGAGATCGCTGAAAATATGCGAATCACAAATTGGTGCATAAGTCGGTGGATTGTGACGTACGTATTCAAATCAACTCCACTATAACCCCCCCCCCCCCCTCTCCCTCTCCCTCTCTCTCTCTCTCTCTCTCTCTCTCTCTCTCTCTCTCTTGTGTTAGTTTGTACAGGTATGTAATTGGGCAAATTGCATACATAGTTGTTGCTGGGTAGGACAAACGAAATGGCTTGACTAAAAACATGTAACAAATGCAATTTCAATTCTTACTTTTCATATACAATAATTGTTGGTCACAGGTAAATTAACTAAATCGTAACGTGGCACTTCTCAAAGACAATTAAAATGGCCCATTATTTACATTACTACGCGTCGGCACTATCACGTACATTATGAGTTCACATTATAAAATATTTTTGGTTTACTTTGGCGGCATCAAACATAAAAAATCAAAAGATCTAGTGAGTTCAATAAACCTTTCAACAATAATCTTTCACAACGTTTGCAGTAGCCATTGTGTATTGCGACTCTTTTAACCCTAATAAGGCCGGATTACAGGTGATTACAATTAAAATGGCCTATTATTTACATTACTACGGCACTATCACGTACATTATGAGTTCACATTATAAAATATTTTTGGTTTACTTTGGCGGCATCAAACATAAAAAATCAAAGGGTCTAGTCAGTTCAATAAACCTTTATAATCTTTCACATGTTTGCAGTAACCATTGTGTATTGCGACTTTATTAAGATTCGCGATTCAAGTGTTATTGTCCATATAATATCGTACTACCTTAATTTGTTTCCTATCGGGGCAGCATACGTACAATGTAAACATATAGGCATAAACAAGACTTGTGTGCATAGAGCCAGAAGGATATGTTTCGATCCATCGATCTCTCTCAGCCAGTCATGAATACATTCATACATAATGGAGAGCAGAAGAGGGAGAGGATCGAAGAGAGATGCAGAGTGAATGACAGAAAGGCAGTGCATGACTTAAGAGCACCGTTGGCCATAACAGTGAATTAGTCCACTCAAGCTGGGGGGGGGGGGGGGGGGGGGGGGGGTCATCAACTAAATTGATTTCGATTTCAAAAATCAATTTTAGCCTAAAACTGATACTTGTGAAACAGGTCCTGAAATCGAAATGAATTTTGGGCCCTTAAAATCGATCGGATCGATTTAAGGGGTTAGTAAAACACCCCCTGCCTCCATCCGGTGTTTGATGACACCTGTAATTGGGTAAACACCCGAATGTGGTGTCAATTCCCCATGTGAACCTGTGTATTGAGCATCTACTAGTTCACACCTTCTGTAATGCATTGATACGACGGGCAAGGGTTTGTTCCTGCAAACTAGGCACTACAGGCCAACATAAATGTAAAGTATTCGGACATAGAAATTGTTTTGAGTTTGAATTTAATACCTTCTTCTATTCCCTACAGTAATACACACGATGACTTGAATGCTTATCTTTGGCGAAAAACAAAGAAAATGATTATGATTGATGCACCTACGTGCCCCACCTTACATCTGTCACTGCATGCGACATTAGTTCTCAAATGCAATTAAAAGAGAGCCGTCTGGCATTAGTCTCTCAGACTCTTATTGTAATCTAATCTGCGTCACGTACAGTACTCTGAACTGTATGACTAGACTTCCTAGACTTACACTATATGAATATGACTGACAAAGAAAGCGGACAAAATATACAGTTCCTCAGGTAGACAAAGGAACATCCCTTCACTGCTATTATGTAAAAGTGTGTAGAACAGGTGTCACATGCATATTCACCTTTTTACATAATAGCAGTGAAGGGATGTTCCTTTGTCTACTTGAGGAACTGTATATTTTGTCCGCTTTCTTTGTACGTACGTCATGTTCATAGTGTTAACTGCGTAATAAGACGTACAGTGAGAGAGAGAGAGAGAGAAAGAGAGAGAGAGAGAGAGAGGGGGGAGAGAGAGAGAGAGAGAGAGAGCTAGCTCTGCTCAAGGCTTCAGTTTAGAAATCATGGTATAGTGACAATTCAGGGTACCCGAGTAAAAAAGGAAGATATTCCTCCTAATTTGCCCCCCCCCCCTCCCACCCTCCAGGCAGTTTAGACGCCCATCACGAAAAATATGACGACCGCTTAATGGGGGGGGGGCGGGGTATTGTTTGTTTGTTTGTTTGATTTATTTAGTTTATTTTTTGTTTGTTTGGTTTTTAGGCGTCATTTTATAAATATAAACCCTGGCGCTGCATGTCCTTTATACATACACCGATCACCCATTTCTTATTTACCTGTTGACAAACAGCTCATTTGCAAGTTGCTGTGAGAAAACTAGGACACAAAATTTTGTGACCTTCTCACAGCGACTTGATAATAGAACATTTATTGCATGAATGGATGGGTGAGTTTAGGCCAAGAAAAAAAATCGATCCAAAACGTCTTTTGTGCACACAGAGAGAGCATTGTATTGGTATTATAAATGCATGCTTGCATATTCGGAGGTTGTTGGTTCCTTTGTCTCCCGCACGGTATAAAACCCAGCCGTCGTTCTGTCCTTCTTTTTATGCACCTCATGAAGTGGAATCCAATCTCTTTCAACTATATTAAAACGAGTAAGTACTGATTCGTTTTCTTTGAATAAATATGGCATGCACGCCTGCCTTTTCCAGCTTGTTTATCAAATTACACCAATGATACTTCTGATTGCATGGACTTACAGTATACACAAACATTTAACGAACATGTCTGAGATATACTTCGTGTATATATTTCATAACAACATTTTTTTAGACGTTCTATCCATCAAGGTATAGGCCTACATATGACTTGTATCTTGTTCCCAGCTTGAATTTGATGATTGCAACACTTTTCCACACATGGCTGTTTTCTGCCATCCAAGTAGGCCTACACTATGAAGTGTCATATACCACTCCATGTATGTTCCTTATATACCCAGTTACAGTTCTTGGTTTTCGTCCAGTGGGTATTTCACAAAGACCCTAAGTCGAACACTCGAACTAAGTTAACTCTAAGTTGGACTTAAACATTATGGAGAGCCATTTGTAGCCTTAAGATGAAATATATTCTAAAGCAAAAATTCAAGTATTTTTAGACTTTTTATAATTTCCACATCAAGAACGTTAAATCTCCTTGATAATAGAAGTACGAATGATTCGAATCAGCATTTTATGCCTTTTAAAATAACTTTTAAAAAATATTTTCAAAGATGCTTACGGCTTTCCATAATTTTTAAGTCCAACTGAGAGATAAGTTCAACTTAGGATCTTTGTGAAACACCCCCCTGGTCTGATACCTCCTATACTTTTCCTTCCAATAAATCTGTCAATTATGAGATCTGATGTCCTTTAATGTGGCCAATAAAGCAATTCATTATTATGTCTTTCTTATTTCTGTAACCATTTCTTTTAGTTCATTTTTTTTTTTAATAATAATAATAATAATACTCAGTTTTTATGTAGCGCAAATTACAATTAAGTCTCTAAGCGCTGTGGAAATAGAAAAAATCAAGAAGTGAGTACAGAAGAAAGGAAATGATATGAACATAATAGCATAATAAATAATAAATCATTGTCATAATTTGTTTTGCATTCTAGATATGTAATGATCTAATGTTATGCTCTTTGTGACTTTTAAAAGAAAGACGAATACAACATATCTTATCTTATCTTATCTTATATTATCAGGATAATTTGTTTAAGCCCTGCCATATGCAGTATTTCTCTGTTTGTTTTCATCTTTATCCTTGATATTGAGATCTTTCTCCTTTTCTTTTCCATGTTGCTGCTCCATACAATTTGACGTTAGTTCAAATAAAAATTATATATAGTCATGATTCGATGTTTACACTTAATCATGAACAAATGTTTGATTTATTGCCATAAGTATTATGGTGCCTCGAACTCGGCCAACCTGTGTTCGTTCTTGCTATTTGCTGGCTCCATTATTTAAAGATACTACGCCCCTTTAAGAGCCAATATCAAATTCTGTAGAACTTTGCAGGAATTATGAATATGTCATGTATGTCCTATCTGTGAAATTTAAACAATAGCAGTGCCCTATAGTATTCAAATAATACAATGGAAACCTGTTTACCTTCTAGACTTCACTGTCAGACTCAGACACTATTGAGTGACTGACTGACATCTTACATAAAATGAGCTGTAACAAGTACACGAGCATTTGTCTACATCAATAACCCACTACTTGTAATGGCCAAAATTAAACTGATTGAATCTTTGTGCAGCACAAATCGTACGACCATTCGGTAAAAGGGTGTGAAAAATCAGATATTACTTAGGTGATTGCAATCACTTAAGTCGATTCGACAACTAGTTGTTATTTTCCACAAACAGCCATTTTCAAGCCCTTTCGTTTTGAGGGAAGTTCTAAATTAGTAATGTCTTTCAAATGCCGTTGGCCTGCAAATGGGACATAGTACCTTTAATGTAGAATTATTATCATGCTGAAATATACAGTAAGTTGATTTTCTGGGAATGAATAAATGAATAAATGCATGCATGAATGAATATATGTGCGTAGGTGCTATGGCTGTATAATGCAGGTGTATAATGCAGGTGCAGATGCAGGTGCATAGTACGGCATCTATAATTTTGGGGAGAAGTTTCTTGTGTTCGTAGCTGAAGTTCGGTGCTCCCCAAGGTAATAATTATGTGTCATTTAGTATGTTTGTATAGTATAGCAAAGGTCGTACGGTCAATAGGAAAACATTCATTTCCGTTTGAGTTTGCGAATTAGGAAATAATAATACAGTCAAACCTGCTGTAGTGACCACCTGTCTACAAAGGCCACATTTTTTGTTTCCCTTGAAAATGGTTTCTCATTAATTGAATCATGTACTAAAGGAACCTGTCTACAAAGACCACCTGTCTACAAAGGCCACTTTTTGTGTTTCCCTTGGGTGGTCTGGTCGCTATAGACAGGTTTGACTTTAGTTGTACGATTTCCGTCCCTAGGATAGGAAGTTGAAGGGCCCTCTTCACATCTAAAGTGTGATCGAAGAGGAGAGTTACCAACAGGGAACTCCTCTCATATTATCTCCCTGGAGTTACGTAACTATATGTACTTTAAATTGCACGTTTAGTATGTCCCACTGCACTATTCGTATGACAGTACGAGTATAGTCCACCTGCACACCCCTATCAGTAATATACCGGGAGGAGATAGAGCCGACCACTCAAGTGATTGTATCAATGCATGTGGTATTTCCTGCATGTGGTACGCGTTGTTACCACACTAAATACCACAGGAATATCTGATGTCACAGGCATACTATATTTCAGGTAAGACATGCAGTAGTATGCAGGGGCATCGATAGACCTTTTTGAGTGGGGGGGGGGGGGGTGTAGAGGCCAACGATTACCGACAAAACTAGCCACCAATTACCGACAAAATTAAATGTCCAATATCTACAAATTCAACCCTATAAACCTGGGGCCGAAGGCTAAATTGTTTTTCCTATGGACTATCTATAGTACTTGCAAATGCGAAAAATTGTCATTTTCCTCGACGACATAAATATACGAATTATTTATTCAATTTAGTCAGCATCATAGCTATTTATTTTAATGCAGGCGCGGAGCTAGGATCTTATTTTAGGGAGGGGCGGTAGTGAGCAAGAGAATCACTTAAAAGCGCGCTCGATCATTAGGGGGGTGTGGATGATGGGCCTCCCGCGCGAAGCGCGGAAGCTTAGACGTTTCCTTAAATTATTAGGAAAAGAAGACGATTAATTGTACCGTTTTCGACTGTTAATCCTTGGCTGAATGAAGTTTTCCCCCTCCCGCGCGAAGCGCGAAAGCTTTGACATTTCATTAAATTATTATAAAAAAGAAGACGATTTGCTGTACCGTTCTCGACTGTTTATCCTTTTCTGAATTCAGTTCCCCCCCCCTCCCGCGCAAAGCGCGGAAGCTTTGACGTTTCATAAAATTATGAGAAAAAGCAGACGATTCGGTGTACTGTTCTCCACTCTTAATCCTTGTCTGAATTCAGTTTCTCCCCCTCCCGCGCGAAGCGCGAATGCTTTGACGTTTCATAAAATTATTAGAGAAAGAAGACGATTTGTCGTACCGTTCCCGACTCGTCTTAATGAAGTTTTCCCCTTCCGCGCGAAGCGCGGAATTTTTTGGCGTTTCATCACAATAATGAAGAAAGGAAGACGATTCCTCGTACCGTTTTCGAATCTTATTAAGCCCTATTCATCTGAATTCAGTTTCCTCCTCTCGCGCGAAGCGCGAAAGCTTTGACGTTTCCTCAAATTATTAGAGAAAGAACACGATTCGTTGAACAGGTTTCGACTTTTAATATGCCCTATTTGTTTGAAGTCAGTTTCCCACTCTCGCGCGAAGCGCGGAAGCTTTGACGTTTCCTTAAATTATTAGAGAAAGAAAACGATTCGTCATACCGTTCTTGACTCGTCTACATGAAGTTGCCCTTTCCGCGCGAAGCGCGGAATTTTTGGCGTTTCATCACAATATAAAGAAAGGAAGACGATTCGTCGTACCGTTGTTGACTCTTACCTTGTTTGAATTTAGTTTCCTCGAAAATTTTAAACCTCTGATTTCTTTAGCTGATATTATAGGAAAGTGAAACTTCGAAAAAATCAAGTATTGTAGTTGTAGTCACTCTCGAAGTCATCACAGCGGATAAGAAATCACAGTTCGTAGGGAAAAAAACTTGTCGGCCGACCGACAATATATATATACATCTCACCGACTTCAAACTTCTGCATTGATATAGTACACGAGGATCGATCAAGAATACCAACACAGCTGACCCGACACAGCAACATATTTACCCGTGTCTTTCTTGCTCCCTCGACGAGACGACTCCACCCAACAACCCCTTCTCTCTTTTACTCCCACTCCTCCTCTCTCAGACTCTTACCTCCCCTCTCTCTCCTCTCTTTCATCCCCCGTTTCTTTTGTTTCCCTTTCACTTTTTTTTCTTCTTTTTTTCCTTTTCTTTCTTCTTTTTTCTTTTCCTTTCTTTTCTCTCCTCCCTCGTTTTTTTTCTCTTTCTTTCTTCTCTTTTCTTTCCTTTCTTTTCCTTCCTTTCCTTTCTTTTTCTTTTTTTCTTTTCTTTTCCTTTTCTTTTTTTCTTTTCTTCCCTTTCCCTCTCTTTTTTCCCTCTCTTTTTTTCCCTCTCTTTTTTTCCCTCTCTTTTTTTCCCTCTCTTTTTTTCCCTCTCTTTTTTTCCCTCCCCCTTCTCTCTTTTTCCCGACGGAAGCACAATTTTACCGACAATATCCTGACAGGTGGGGGTGTCGCACCCCCCCCCCCCACACCCCCCTTTGGCGACGCCCCTGGTAGTATGTTAATTTGTGTCACTTCTGGTTATTGTTATCTTTACTCTTACACTCAATTATCTATATGTTACACTGTAACTTTAAAATTATACAATGTACGGAAATTGAGAATGATCCTTTTTTTTAGATTTGAATTTATAGGTAGGCCATGTATACGTGATTCATGTCCATGCGGAAAGGATGTTAGCATAATAAATATTCGTCCTTATGATTTTTTTTCTAACATAAATCTTAAAGGCTTATGGAATAGGCCTAGCTGCGTGTAAATTTCTTCAAATTAGTGTTTTAAATCAATACCGGCCGGATAATCAATATCTGTTCGGGCACACGACGTGTAAGAAATCCAAAAATACTTCTGTCTCCCTGTTTAACATGCCGTATCTGGCCAGGTCATAGCTTCGGAAGAGAATATTAACAAATACAAAATAATGTTGACCCATTCTTATGTATTATTATATGACGTCGAGTTTCTTCTGACTTTCCTTTACACACACATGACGCAAGGAGTTCTTTGCACATTTTGAACTCTACAATACATAGGTTTACTAACACATTCAAATTCATGGATGTTTCGTTCCCTTGGACCTAGTGACGAGGTATTCCATTAAGTATGAACTGCATTTAATACTTGGATTCAGTCTGCTTGGAATCAAGTCTGCATTTACTTGTTGCTATGACGGGCAAGCCTTGGAATGATGTCGGGTTGTCAAGAACAACCTTTCTCTAAACAGTATGCATCACATTTGAACTAAACCGGTCTATAGTTAATGGAGTACATCGTGAGTTTTTTTCCCATCTTGAAAAGAACCCGAGTCTATTAATTAGTAATACGTCTAGAGAAGGGAAAGCTATATAGACCTCAGACGATTTTGAACAAAAGTAATCCCGGTGTGAGCGACAGCGAATTTCGTCGAATAACGGTTTCGAGAAACGACCCCCTGAGCGACATATGTTTTTCTTCCTACTTTCATCTTTCATTTTTTTCCTCCTCTGTTTGTCCCCGTAGCTCTTCCATATTCGGCACATGTGACATTGCGATTTAAACATCAGCCACTGCGGTCATCATCGGCACGCCGCGGTAAGGGTCGATACACTGCGGTAAAACATCGGCATACTACAGTAAACGTGAGCACACTTCGATAATCATGAAAGGCGAGCCAGGTTCACACTTCAACCGCAGCGGTTGGACCATGGCTATGGCCGCGTTCATACATTTAACTTTCACCTACGGGATCATCTCCAGTTTTGTCGTTCTCTTTGTCTCACTCGAAGAAGAGTTTGAATCATCAGCAGTAGCGACTGGTAAAAAGACTATAATTAGATTTACTTGAAGGATACTATTGAATAATTTGAACACATGCATGGTAGGTCGATGATTAAAGATATACTATGTCCCTTTTGCAGCCAACATCATATTCTGTAACACTTTGCAGGAATTATGAATATGACTTATCATGTATGTCCTATCTGTGAAATTTGAACATTATCAGTGTCCTATTCAGGAAACCCGTTTAACTTCTAGACTTCACTGTCAGACAGACTATAATTGAGTGACTGACTGATATCTTTTTTTCTTCATTAGTAACATAATGAGCTGTAACAAGTACGATCATGAGCATTTCGAGGGAGGTTCTAAAATAGTATTGTCTTTCAAATGCCGTTGGAATTTAACCATTTAAAAAAAAATTGGCCTGCAAATGGGACATAAGTACCTTTGTGAAAATGTGGTATGGCAGTATGCTGAGTAGAGTGAGCGTATAATACTTTTTGAGGGCTGCTACAAGCATGTGTTGCTTCTTGGGGGTAAATCTAAATCAACTGGTTCAGTATTTAGTGGGGAGGGGGGGGGGGCACACGGGGTATTCGACCGTGGCCTGGCAAACAAAGCTGCCATACTTTTATTGCAGTGATAAGTCTTTAAGATTTCATCATTTTCCGACAAAGAGTGCTATGCAAAGGGACTGTATAATACTGTCAATCCACAGGTTTAGATGTGAGTGGGGAGGCGGCCAAATAATATGATTGGGAATAAAATGATGTTACATGATTATGACATCGCCACTAAATCGACCATTATCATCCTTGAACTAATATGGCCCCTTAAAGGTAAAGATCAGTTTTGGAAACGCCCCCCTCTCAAAAAATGAAATGGAAGCTCTTATTAGGCCTACCAATCATGTGAAAGAATATGTTTTGACTAATACGTGATGATACAAATTTTGCCGATAAACCGCCTACTAATTGATATATTTGGTAAATTATTATATAAATTTTGGACCTGATATAATCGCGCTCGTGTCGCGTACGTGTCGCGTAGTCCCATACATCTTTCTGTGTTCAGTGATTGTAACTTTACCAAGACTTGGCCAAATTTCTTATCATTTTGATGATTCCAGAACCTTGCAGTACACACTCATACTTATATGCTAGGTGATCAACCTTTTCTGATCGATTCCACAACGTTTCTTTTACAATGCAATCGCATGACCATAACTGGTCTTTAGCTTTAAAGGCATCGTTAAATTTGAGATGCATGCATGGCCCTACGTGTTATCAGTGTCAGTGGTATGGTGTAATATTGAAGCCCTACAAAATTGCGCTTCAAAATGATCATGAAGTGCCTCGAAAAAGTAAAAAATCTTTGAGTGACCGGTTTTATCATACTAATTTTCTCCAATAGAATGTAGTGATATGAAAACCGTTAGAAAAACGGAAAATTTGATTTCGATTTCTAATCATAAATATCTTGATAATCAGACAGGAGTGAAAGAGAAGGGGGAGGGGAGCCCAGCCTAGTCGGACCAATATTTCCGTCTGTTTTCCGTTTTCAATCTTGAGACAGAAGTTCCAAAATTATGCAACAGGTAATATTAAACAAAGTTGTTAATTTTTTTAGAAACCTAACTACGTCAAGAAAAATCAGAAAAAACCCGGGCAGAAAATTTTGAATGTGGTTGTCGCCCCCCCCCCTCTCTCTCTCTCTCTCTCTCTCTCTCTTTCTCTCTCTCATCCACACTTACTCATTTTAACCATGCATGTAAACAGGCTGGATGGGGTCCATGGCGTGGGGAGTAGCAGCAATGTTCTCTCCCTTCTCCGCCTTGATGTTCCTTCGCTGGGGGCACCGGCCCATCGCCCTTCTGGGGGTTCTCTGCTGTTCAGTTGGGCTTCTCGTCACATCGTTCCTGTCCAATCTCTGGTACATGTACGTGTCCTTTGGCTTCGTCTTTGCAGCGGGAACGAACATGTTGAACAATCCTGCTTTTCACCTTACCGCGCTCCATTTTCCAGGCAAAAAGGGGGTCCGACCCTTCGCCTTTGTAAACCTAAGCGGCGGTGTCGGTAAGTGTTCTTTTCTTCATCTTGTGTTTGTTTTGTTCTGTAACGTTTTGTTCAGGGCAGGGGTCAATAAAATTATGTTTTCCCATTATCAATGAAGGAAAGAAAAAAGTGAGTAAACATGTTCTACTTAGGGCCGTATATCAGTTGAACGCGACTTTGGGTCTAAAATTAAAGGAAAACTTAGACCTTAGACTATTTGTCATTGTCAAAATTTTGAACAAAACTTTAGTAGAATACGGGCCTTATACCTCAGTCACATCACCAGGACGACTACCCCAAGGGAGGGGTAGCCTACTCACATATTAAGACTTACGCGGGTGTGCCGCTCTGATGGGTAACTTTTTTAAACAAAAATACCACTAAACATGGGTCCGCTTTTTTTAATCCTTAAAATTTTGAAAAATGGGCTTTACTTCGAGAAAATTCTGCCAAAATGGCCCTCAAAAATGGGTAGGGGTTTCGAGGTTTAAGCGGCACACCTCCGTCAAAACCAAATCTGGATTCATTTTTTCGAAAAAACTTTGAGATTGAGTAGTTCTATAATCATGTATATTATTCTCTTTTTTTCCCCCAAGCCATTTTGGCAGGTGCTCCGCTCATCGATGTTTGCATAAAATCCCTCGGATGGCGCATCACTTATGCAATATTTTCAGGCATCCTTTTTGTTGTGTGTCTACCTTTATGCTACTTCTATAAGATACCCTCTGCCTCCCATAGCAACCTGAATGAGGAAGAAATGAAATATACTGATTGCAAGCCAGATGGAGCATCAAATAGCACAAAGGACATTGGACATGGGCATGGTCTGGTGCAGTCTAGTTCCTTCGTTTGTTTGGCAAAAGAGACATGTGAGCATGACGCGGAAAATGAACGTGAGTTAGAAAATGAAACAGAGACGACCACAAGAACGAGCCATCAATACAAGCAGCTCGCTGAAAGGGACGAAACGTCTTCATCAGGGGTGAGAACATGCTTCTGCAACCACCAGAGACGCCACGTAGATTCAAAGCCAAAACATCCATCAAGTCAGTGTGAACTGGAAGACCTCTCATGCGCGCAGGGAAAAACTGCATACCCCGACGTAGGGAGTAGCTCTATAGGCGTGGTCGAAGATTCGGATCGTCCACGTGACGCGATGGAGGTTAATGACTGCGTCTTCGAGGCGGTAGATGAAAGTTGCTTGGATAGAAAGTGCGCCTTCATGAAAGTCCCGGGTTTGTGGATGGCCACCTTTGGGACGATGACAACGTCGGCAGCGTCTGTTTTCAATGTCATCAATTTGGTAGGTAGCTCGGCTCATTGGTACGCGAACAACCAATAGCGTATTTAAAGAAGGGGGCAAGGGGGGGGTCGCCCCTCCGGGCAGTTTCCTACAAAGACAAACGTTTAAGCCTTCTTTTTTGTTCATACTAATACTTGTCACTTATTTGGACTCTTATTCCTTATCTATATGCTTGATCAAATAGAGAATATGTCATTTATTTGGATTCTTATACCTTATCTATATTTCCTTGTGTGCCCTGGCAGAGAAGTTCTAGATAGATAGCGCAATACAAATCCCTACCATTGTTCTTATTATTAATTTTATTAATAATAATAATTATTATTATTATTACCAATACTATTATTATCATCACCATCAATTTGTCCACAACCAAAATGTTCACAACCAAAACGTTCAGTTTGTAAATAAAACAGGAACCGGACTTAATCCAGAAATCTAGAAATCCAGAAATCCACTTTTTTACAGTCATGTCGGATTAAAAGCGCGTTCAGATATGGTGAGGTCATCAGCCGAAAAACAGACGCGGCAGTTTAAATCAAAACAAATTAACTTGGACATGAATGGCAAGCCCGCACAACAAAGGACTTGCGCGTATTCGCTGAGCTCTTCGTTATATTAATACACACTATGAACATGGCCGACAAAGAAAGCGGACAAAATATACAGTTCCTCAGGTAGACAATGGAACATCCCTTCACTTCTATTATGTAAAAATGTGTAGAACAGGTGTCACATGCATATTCACCTTTTTACATAATAGCAGTGAAGGGATGCTCCTTTGTCTACCTGAGGAACTGTATATTTTGTCCGCTTTCTTTGTCGTCATGTTCATAGTGACAGTCAAACCTGCTTTAGTGACCACCTGTCTACAAAGACCACCTATCTGCAAAGACCACATTTTGGTCTCTCTTGAAATAGGTTTCTCATTGAAACATGTACTAAAGGAACCTGTCTACAAAGACCACTTTGTGTTTCCTTTAGGCGGTCGCTATATAGACAGGTTTGACAGGTTTGACTGTATACAGATATCAAATGTAAAGCGTATTACACTTTACGTCACCTTAACATAAAATAAAACCGCTGCGGTTGACCGCGTCATTTCTGTATGAACGAGGCTTGATAAGGTTTTTTTTTTTTTTTTTTTTTTTTTTTTTTTTTTTTTTTTTTACAGGTGAGCTATATGCAGCTGATTGGTCTGAACGACAGGACCTCGGTCTTACTCATCATGGGGATAGGTCTAGCTGAAATGTTCGGCAGGATCGTCTATTTTCTGATTGGGTCCAGTCTTCCGGTCGCCGGGATGACGACCATGTCCGCTGTGAACCTTGCCGGGGCTGCGTTGTCGCTCTGCCTCGCTCTTATCCCGAGATTAGAAACTATCATTACTTACATCATAGGTAGGTCCTCGGGGGGGGGGGGGGGGGGGGGGGGGGGGGGGGGGGGGGCTTGGGCGCTCACCCCCCCCCCCCCATAATAAAATAAAACACTAAAAAAGTATATATATATATATATATATATAAATATATTTAAAAAATAAATAAATATGTGATTTACCTATGTTATGAATTTATGTAGTTTATGCGTGGATAAGCACTATGGTGCTTTATGATTTTAGCGGTCCTAGATTATGTTAAAAGTCGATATAAGTTTTGTATTAATTCTTGATTATTAAAGCAGGGATTTGCACGGCGAAAACACTTGTTAAAGGGCCGAAATATTGTACACAAAATCATAATTGAAACATTTCTTAAAAGTATGGTGGCAAAATATTTATTATAAGCAACATTACGGTTTTAAGACAATTAACATGAATCAATAATTTATCTGAATAAATCATGTTTTCTGCGTATTGTGCTACAGTTGCAGGTATAGCCCGTGGAATATTCTACACCATCAACCTACCGTCGTGTCTGGAGTTATTTAAAGGGTTGGATAGCGCTGTCGTTATAGCCTGGATGATGGTGGGAAACGGTTTTGGTGGCCTCTTGTCATCGACCTGCGGAGGTAGGATGTCGTTTGTCTTATCTTCTTTGAGCAAGATTGCTTCCGAGCATTGTCATTATAGGCCTGTTTTCATCAGCTCGAGATTGCCAAATAGCCTGATTCGGGAAATAATCCCGAAGTTACAATCGCGCCCTCATCAGTACGAGACTTGACCTCCGAAACTTGAAACTCGAGCTCGAGATACTAGCTCGAGATTATTGTTCAATGTTTGCGCATTGTGCGAGTCTTCGGTCTGGTGAAAACGCACCCGACAAAGAATCGGGATAGTTTGCCAAATAGCGGGATATTTTGCAAACTAGCCCAACATATCTTGGGGTGATTATCTCGACCAAAATTAATATCCCGCTAATTGCAACTTCGGGCTGATGAAGACGCAAATTAACTGGATAATTTGCTATCGAGATATTTGGCGATCTCGAGCTGATGATAACAGGCCTAATTATTATTCCCACTAGAGGATCCAGGAAATCAATATTCTACGCCATTAATCTCCCCTCGTGTCTGGAATTTTTTAAAGGGCTAGATAGCGATGTCGTTATAAAACTTTAATGTCAGGGACTTTTAGATTTGCACAACAACAACGTGGATTGCTACGATCGACGTCCATTTAATGCACCGCCTTGAATGGACGTCACACGTATCAGTCCACGCAAATCTAAAAGTCCCTAATAATGGTGGGGAAACGGCTGTTTTTGCTCTTTTCGGAGCCATTAACATAATGGCTTTGTTCTTCCCATACAGGTCCAGATGATGTTTATGCCCTATAAGAATTTGATCACCCCCACAGTTTTATGTATGTAAAATATATGCTTAGACTAAAACAACTTAATGTGAGAATTCCCCTCCTTTGCTTGTGGGCACTTTTTAAAATGTGCGGCCAAACAATGATGGGTAGGGGTCTGCTCGGGGCGTCGCTAGACCTTTTTTCAGTGGGGGGGGGGGGGGGTGTAGAGGCCACTGATTACCAACAAAACTAGCCACCGATTACCAACAAAATTGAATGTCCTAGTGTCTACAAATTTAATTATTTCGTCAACTTTAATAGTCAGTTTCATAGCTATATATTAAAATGCAGGCGCGTAACTATCTTATTTTAGGGGGCGGTAGTGAGCAAGCGAATCAAGGGATGGGTGAAGGGCCTCATGCCTAAATTCATGCTCTAAAATATTAAAATTCAGTTTTCCCCGTTGACGTTTCCGTACATTATGAGAGAAAGCAAACGAGGTTGTACTATTCCCGACTCTTTACCCTTATCTGAATTCAGTTTTTCCCCCTCCCGCGCGAAGCACGGAAGCTGAGATGTTTCCTTAAATATTAGAGAAAGAAGACGATTCATAGTGCCATTCTCGACTCTTAACCTGTATGAATTCAGTTCTCCTCCTCCCGCGCTTCGTGCGGAAGCTTTGACGTTTCCTTAAGTTATTAGAGAAAGAAGACGATTCGTTGTACTGTTCTCTTTATCCTTATCTGAATTCAGTTTTTCCCCCTACCCGCGAAGCGCGTAACTGAGACGTTTCCTTATATTATTAGAGAAAGAAGACGATTCGTTGTACCGTTCTCGACTCTTATTCCATATCTGAATTCTGTTTCCCCTCCCGCGCAAAGCGCGGAAGCTTTGACGTTTCATTAAATTACTAGAGAAAGAAGACGATTCGTTGTACAGTTCTCGACTCTTAATCCTTGTCTGTGCATATTTTGAAGTTGTAATAAATCATTATGTGTCTCTGTCTCTTCCTCCCTCCTCCCCTCCCCTACCTTCGCCCCCTCTCTCTCCCCCTTCTTTCTACCCATTGTCTCCGCCGTAATGTCCGTCTCTCTCTCCCTCCCTCCCTCCTCCCCCTCCTTCTTCCCTCTTCTATCCTCTCCCTCGCTCCTCATCATACAGGTCTGAGTGTAGATATCACAGGCTCCTACAAGGTAGCCTTCTTCACCTGTGCGGGTCTCTACTTCACGTCTTTTCTCATTTTCGGTAGTCTACGGCTCTGGCCAAGAATGTTCATCAAAGATAAATTTACAACTCCTCGAAACTGACCGACGTCTGTCTGAAACTGTAGACACCCATTTTTCCCAGGAATCTTGGAAATCCGGGAAGATCTAGGCCTTGTGTAGTATAGGCCAGAAGCATGTTCGGAAGTTGCCACCCCATTTTATACATATTATTTGACCCCTCAATGTTGCATAGACCATCAACTTCATTCAAAGAGGTTGTTAGCCTGACCGTAGATGGCGGGTTATGATTGACTACGGTGGATTTTTTTAACGTGTGAGATGCCTCCTTTGTTCAGCAAGAAATTTGAATGTTCACCACGGAAAATCAGCCAAAAAATGTCCGTACTCTTGAATGTTCGAAACCCTGGATACCTGACGAAGTGGTAACATTAAATCGCGTACTGTTTGCTGCACAGCGCCATCTCATGTCAACTTGCCAACATTGCAGAGGACTCGATGCGGAAAACCTGCTTGGGATCGGAAGCAGCGACTTACGGCGTCACACTGCTTGTACATCTGACCTAAGATATGGCGCTAGGGGGATTTTGCAGTGGAGCTTCAAGGAAAGTATGGCATTAATATTGCTGACCTTCGCAGCAAAGCAGGATTCAACGATATGTTTATGGAAAAGTGTCACCATCACAATCCTATCTTCACTATAGCGACAAATGCAAAACAGTATTAAACATGTAACATTGAAATAATAACTGGCAATAAGTATAAGGTGCTTCAACTTACAGAAGTATCAACGTTGTTGAAGAGTGGACATTTTGAATATTTAACATTATAAAGAATTTTACCTCAGATTGAAATAAACATGACTGTAATATATATATATATATATGAACATATTTTTGGGTGTTATATATTCCATGAAAAGTCTATATTATTGTACATATATTTCATATTTCTTAACTTATCCATAATCAATATATAAGCTTTTTAATGCTGCAATTGGAAGGTTTAAGACTTTTTAAAATTTAACATTTTTAACCATGACCTGAATAAAGACATTGGCTACACTCAGGCACTGCTTTGGCCGGAAAAAATGGATTTAGTCCGCTAAGCGCATTGTTCTATTTGTGTTTTGGTTTAGTTTGTCTTAGCTTACTATATGTACACATTTTTATCTGGATTTTACTATACAGTTCCACTTGTTTATTTGTGAAGGGAACCTTACTTACAAGCTCAAGCTTCTTTCGAGTTCCCTAACCATTTTATAACCATGTCAAATATGTTTTGAAATGAAATGAAATGAAAGTGATAATGAGCAACGTTCAAATTCTTCTTCTAAAGTACAAAAAACAAATGATAATGAATACATTGGCTTTTGCTGTTCTTAACCTATCCTAAGCAACAGAACCTTATTATCAAAAACTCTTCCGACCAAGAAAAACTATCTTGTTTAATAAAAACATAAAATATTAGGGCTTTAAACAAGTAGTGAAGGCAAAGTGATACCTTGTTATTCCAAGGTATCAGTATATATTGGTCATTATAAAGGTATAACAAGACTTAAAGGTCCCAGTATTTTAAAAAAAAAAAAAAAAAATTGTCGATACGACAAGGTTACGAGGGTCCACTGTATTTAAATGTTTTTGTTCTTGCCTAATTGGAATTTCATATTTTTACCCATTTAATTCAAAGTAGAATTGATTTAAAATCATTTTCATACAAGAGCTGTTCCTGTTTGAAGTCATACCAAAGCCCTATGGCCTCTTCAGACCTCTATTAAAAAGATTATTGAAAAATGTAATATTGTTGTTATTAAATGCATATTTTATGGAACATATGTATATGAACATAATTTATACATGAATTTTCTTACCCTTTGCAATAACAAGTTTAATAGTCTTAAAAATTATGTTATGAGTCTCATGTTATGCCATGTGTTGTGTTTTTTAATGGAAATGTGAATAAACTAACTCAATACACTCAAGTAATTTTGTGCACTCCTTTATATGGACTTTCTCATACACAGAATTCACATACTTTGCTGTACCAGTAATCATTTCTTTATTTCAAAGAAAAGTACAGCAATGCATGACTTTGCACAAGTACAATTACAATATAATCATAACTAGGTAAGTCCATTAACCTATTTGGGTTCAAGACATGTTTTCAAAAGCTCAGTAACATTGTTGAGCTTTACATGTCTCCAGTAGTTGGCAGAATAGGGGAGGGGGGGGGCAGGTGAGATTTAATACCCCCCTCCCCCCCCCCAACACACACACACTTTTCCCTCTATCATGAATCAGGATAAGTGTATCTCCTCTGACAAGAGCGACCCTTCATAAAATAAGGTATATAAACAAAAAAGATGTTGTATTGCCCTTTTCGTGCTAAAACATGGGTTGGACGGTCAGAAATCTTTTTCTTCTTTTTTTACTTTTTCTTTACAGTAAAAAAAAATTTAAAAAAGTTAAAAGCCAACCGTAGATTACAAGATTTTTGGGTTCGGTCGCAAAGGGCAATACAACATCTTTTTTTGTTTAGGCCCAAGTGCCCCTACCATGGTAACAAATGCCCCCCTTCTTAATTTTTTGAGCCTTTTACTTGGTGCCCTCCTCCCCCAACCACCATGCCCCTACGTAAAGTCAACATGTAACACAAATAAGTATCTAATCAGCACACAATAATTTCTTTCAATTTTTTAATAGAATGTATTCATATCTACATAATACATGCATATTGCGTATCGTTTTTTCTTCTCTTTTTGATGCCATACACAACCATAGCTCTCTTTTAAGGACCATACATTTTACAGCAATGAAGTCCTTTTACTATCAACCTGTTCCCTGTCTCCCCGTGTCTGCCATCAAAATGGCACTTCTCTGAAGCAACCTCTCTTCTTGTGGAATTTTGAGACAATGCACACGGTAATATCCGAGAATGTTCTTGTGAGGTTGCTTGCATTTGATCGCATGTACATCCGATGAATTGAATTGACTACGGGTATGCACCATTATGCAAGACGGTACATGAGTAGGACTGTCTGGAAGAGTTAATCCTTAAGATTCACTGTGAGCTGATAACTGCTATCGGAGCTAAGCTGGGGTAATCATCTACAATGCTCTTTGGAAGCGACGTGACATTGTATCATTATTTGATAACACTAGTACACTACACAAATTAAGTTTGATTTGTTCTATTGCAAGATGTGACACCATGAATAACCAAACTTCATCTTCCCCTTTTCCTATCATAAATCTCCTTCATATACAGTCAAACCTGTCTACAGCGACCGCCCAAGGGAAACACAAAAAGTGGTCTTTGTAGACAGGTGCATTTAGTACATGTTTCAATGAGAAACCATTTTCAAGGGAGACAAAAAATGGGCTTAATGTAGACAGGTGGTCACTAAAGCAGGTTTAACTGTATATTCTTCCTTCTCTCATGTTTTGGAAGACTCCTGTATATGAGATGATGACAAATCAGTTCTTACATCTGTCCCATTATGAGGATTATTGGATGCCTTGTATAACCACACTTCATCCACTCCCGCTCCTTCACATAAATGCGGCTCCCAGTTAGGGATTGGGAAACGACAGGCCACAACTGATGCGTTCGGCTTCATCTCAGAAGAAATCTTGGTTTCTAGAGCAGCCATCTGTAAATGAAGAGGAAAAGAATTTTAGTACCCCCTGTAATACAAAATTATGGTTTTAAGCAGGTAATACGACTCATAGCCTATGACATATATTTCATTCAATTTACAAGAAACTAAACAATTAAATATCAAAATATATTCTCCTGAAACTACAGTTTGTGTTACAGAAAATTAACCAATTAAGTAATGAAGTTATGAGCTTTGTTCCCTGATATGAAGACATTTGTTGTAAACAATGGTAACAAAAATGGGAATTTAAATAACTTGACCCAATGTTTTAAACTTTAGTGTTGATTTTCTCCAAACAAAATCGCCAACAAGAATAGAGTCTAATGTCATATTTAAAGTACTATGACAAGCTAACAACTAATTTTATGATGAGTTCAGGGGCCAAAGTGACAGCTTATGGAGAAGAAAAAAACAATTGAAGTTGAATGAACATTCAGGATAGCCTTTTTGTAGAATAGGAATAAAGAAACAAACTGTTATAAGGGTAAAAAGTTCATCAATAACATCCACATGATTATCTTCATCTCTTTTTAATAGGTTCCTCACATGTATCTATTATATGAATTGAGAATCATTAACACGTGCTCATTTATACTATAATTGTAATGTATAATTATTTGTTTTTATATACTATGTTTATATTTTCTGTAAAATGTGGAACAAAAAAATTTGACTTGACTAAAAAATTAAGCCATAGATGGATTGACTGAGGCTGTCCTTGTGGAAAATACATGTACAGGCTGTACAAAAAGTCTCCTACAAGAATAGAACATTCATGAATCCATCCTATTGGCCAACTTTGATGTTTGTTTGTTAAAATAATACCACGCAGGCCTATTTCGAGTTTCGACTCACCATTTGTGATACTCCAAATATGACGATGACATCAAATTTGCTAAGGTCGACATTCCAGAGGTTGGTACGATGGAATGATGTTCTCTCCTTTGTTCCTGCTTGACGAGAAGCGATTCTTGAATACCAAACAAGCCATGGATTAAGCTCATATCCGACACCCTGATACCCATGCTTCGCTCCAGTGATTACCTACAATGTAGATGCATGTCAATAAAACGTATTGAAAGTTTTGAAACACTAACATTTAGAAACGATTAGAAATGTATTCACATTTTGATACTGTACAACTCAAAGTCAAATGAAACAACAGTAAAATGGCAAAACTCACTTGCAATTTCCCTGATGTGAATATTATCAAAACACTGAATACATGCCTACTGCCTAATGTTTTAGCACTCTATACCACGTACACCATCATTTTATTGGCATGAATGTAGTAGTGAAATTTTAGTAATGATAAGTCTAATAAGTAAAAAAAAAAAGAGAAGAAGAATTAATTCAAGAATCAAGAAGCAACAGCAGAATATGAAGAAGTACATGTAGGCTGTTAATGTGTTAGACAAGATCCTTCTCCTCTTCTTCTTCTTCCTTTTCATCTTCTTCTACTTTTCCTTCTACCCTACTCAGGACTTTTTAGTAATGATAGATCCAAATCTAATACAAAAAGAGAAGAAGAATTAAGAGGCAACATCAGAGCGTGAAGAAGTAGACTGTTATTAATGACATGTGTTAGACAAGATCCTCCTCCTCTTCTTCCTATTTTCTTTATCTTCTTCTAGTCTACTTCTCCTTTCTTTGCTTTTCTTTATCTTCTTCTGGTCTTGACTAAGTTTACTTCTCGACTTCTCTTTTCCTCCTTCTTCTAGAGGTCTACTAGTTCTACTTCTCCTCCTCCTTCTTCTTCTCCTTCTTTTTCTCCTCCTCCTCCTACTTCTTATTCAGTGCTAGGATTAGAAACTAGTAACTCACGATTCTCCCGTCTCCACTGCCCAAGTCCACCAACATCTTTTTCTCCCCAGTCCCACATACTACATCCAATGTTGGATTAGAAGCCGCGGCCCTCTTGAGGACCGAAAACACATTGTCAACTTGCGCCGTCGTGGCGGGGACGTAAGGCAAGCAAATCCGGCGAAAGGCAGGTAGAATAAACGGGGTTGCGACGGCATATAGTCCTCCAACTACCGCCCCAGTTACACCAAGAATTACAAGTCCTTTTTTCCATCTCCCATTGGATTTTGATTTACCGCTCTTCTTCGGTTCTCTTACATCTGCCATAAAATAAAATGTGTAGGACAGTCCGAAAGATCATAAAGTAAAGGTAAGGGTCGACCAAAGTAAACACATGTGTATCCGCAGCGCAGCAGCCACACAATGCTGCTTGAATTAACCGAATAAAAGAATAAATTTTAAAAGTTACGATGTCTTCGAGGAAACAAATTTTAAACAATTATCCTCCAAAGAAGAGGAAGAAGCAGAAGAAGAAGAAGAAAAAGGAAAGAAGAAGAAGAAGGGGATAAAAGGAGATAAAAGGATGAAGAGGAGGAAGAGGACGAAGAAGAAGATAGAGAAGAAGAGAAAGAAGAAAAAGAACATGAAGAAGGTTTGTTAACATTCACGGTAACCGAGTGGTTTAAAGGCACGGATCGGCTCTTGTAATAAGTTCCTTCGTATGAAAGCAGAAAAATTAAGAGCGAAAGTTTGAAACAAAATCGGACGAATAAGAAAGTCATGCAAGTTTGGAATATAAGATTACTAATTCTACATGAATCTCAAATTGGAGGTTTGGTCAGTGAATTGTGATTCCCCCCCCCCCCCCCCCCCACTCAATGTTATTTAGGGTACGCATAATGCTCGTTCCCTCTTTTTGAAAGCACCCCCTATCTGAGGACTGCCAATATTTCCGAACCCCCCCCCCCTTTCGCGGGCATTTCGTGGGCTTTTCCTGCCGTTGGAGACCCCCCTAAATCAGGAAAAATGCTCAATGTACCCCCCTAAATTCGAAAATAATTTCTCAGGAGACCAAAGAGATGAGAGGAAAAAAAAAGAAAAAAAAGAAAAAAACCCCCTTTTTAAAGAGATCTCCGGGTGAAAAGTCAAATACACCCCTTTTTTTTACAATTCTCGGGCCGGACTTTGTCGCACGAAAAGTACCCTTTCGGAGTTTACCGGACATTTTGGCAACACGCAATGCGGTCATTCCGACCTCTGAGTGGGGGGGGGGGGGGGGGGGGGGGGGGCCGGGATTATGATGTATAGTTGCTGATAACCCCCTGTTGATCGTATATCAGTATATCACCAATTTCTTTGAGGCATGCACTACTCAATATTTATTATGGTAATATAGCATATCGTTATAGGTCCTCTAAAGTGGGTTCCACTACATGCAATGTCAGCCGTCTAAGATGGTGGAAGAGTCGGGGAAGAAAGCGACTGGGGCGGGGGAGGGGGTAGGGGGGTTCCTCTACTTCAGGCACTAAAAAGAATATTTTTCAAAGAATGAGAAAAAATAACAACTAAAAGTTTTATTAAAAAAACAACACACCGTATTGCCTGTTATTTAGTATAGGAACAAGAAACAGGGGGGGGCAGCTCATACTGCCACTCTAGGGGGTAAATTTCTTTGGGCGTCGTATTTTTGGCTCACCCTCTACCGAAATTTGACAAAAAGATGTGCTCTCTGCGTAGCCAAGGCTTTATATATCTAAAGAGTCTTTACATAGCGCTCTCTGATCAACTTTGCAAACTATTTCAGAATTTTTTTTTTTTTTTTAAAGAACAAATCCCCTCAGTCTAATTGCACAATGATCAAGCATTATTCATGAAAAGTCCTTTGGCTTTCTATTTAAAAAAAAAAATGCTTTTCTTTTTAATACTCGCATTGTACAGAGAACGTGATGAGATGGCTGAGGCGTGAAGGAGAGAGGTGGGTAGGGGTGGGGGGTTACCATTTTATTATATTTTATCTTATATTAACAGTCGAAAATTGAAGAGAGAGAGAGAGAGAGAGAGAGCGGGCCCCTGAATACTCATCTGACCGTAATTACATGCCTAAAACCCCTTAGCTTCCGGGGGGGGGGGGGGGACTCTGCTCTGCCAGTGTCACATATTAAATACGGTATCAAAATATGCTCATCTGAGTGATCTGACCGTAAATAAATATGCCTAAAGCCTTGAGCTTCTGGGGGCCTCGCCCCCTGGACCCTAATCAAGGGCCCTAAGGTGGGCCCCTGACTGCTCATCTGACCATAATTAAATGCCTAAAACCCTGAACTTCATGGGGCTCTTCCACTTGACCGCCGCAGTGACTTTCCTCTGGACCCCATGCCAATTTAAGCTCCTCTTGCTTAATATATATTTTCTAACTATTTGTGTAACATATGGGGAGTTAAACAAATTTTTTAAAAATACAAATCACCCCCCCCCCCCTACACACACACACACACACAAATACCTGATGATTTTGAATTTTTTTCCCCCCTTTCCTTTTTAATTTGTCTTTTCTAAGTCGCCCTTGTACTACATCTGTAAACTCTTCGAAAAATTCAGGTCAAATCTGTGCGCAGTGTTTCTAAATCTTTGTACGCTATTATCCCCATAATTTGCTTTTCTCAGGAGGAAAATGGCCGGGAGGGGTGCTAATTCGTTGTGGATGGGGGACGTAAGTATTATCTTGATGTCTTTTTGATAACATATTTTGTTCTGTTCTTCTTCGTCGTCCCAGGTTTTGGCTTTGGTTGAGTCCCCTACTCGGCTCCGCCGCGCTGCTCTGGAAGACTGGATACTCTTCGCATTGTTGGCCGACGCGGCGCGGCGAATTTTTTTTCCGTACTCGAGAGGGCAAATACCCCATGTGCGCATGCGCGTGGACTTATGATTTCTCTGCTACTTCCCATACGAAATGTACATGTATTCGCATGTACTGTGCACGATTCGCGTTCTACGAGTAAACGATGGCATAGTAGTCTTCAAACACAGACTCTGATTTGCCAGTTTGACAAATCAATATGCGTATGTGTCGCGATGTGCTTATTCAAGTCTGTGTAGTTGTATGATTCAGACCCAGTAGTGCATATGGAAATACATTGCAACTTGTATAGAATGGTATAGTAGTCTGCAAGCACAGACGCTAATCTGACAGTTTGACAACATACTAGTAGTGTGCTGAGAAGTACTTTATTCAAGTCGCCAACTTGTATAGAATGGTATAGTAGTCTGCAAGCACAGACGCTAATCTGACAGTTTGACAACATACTAGTAGTGTGCTGAGAAGTACTTTATTCAAGTCTGCGTAGATGTATGATTCAGACCCTACTGGTGCGTGCGTTAGAAATGCATCTCAATGTGTAGAGTGTAGTATAGTAGTCTGCAAGGACATAATAATATATTGTGTATTGATGAGTAGTGATTTTATGCAAGTTTGTGTAGTTTAATGATTCCAGACCCCATGGTAGGCCTATGTATTGTGCCACTGCTCTCTCACACTCTTTCTCTCTCTCTCTCTCTCTCTCTCTCTCCATATCTCTCTCTCTTTCTCTCTCTCTCTCTCTCTCTAGCCCTCCCTCCAGTATGCTCGCACTCTCTGCATTACTTTTATTTATAATCATGGTCTGCTGAGAGCCAGAAGGATGTTAACTCTTAACACAACGAATGCCCTTCTGGCTCTGAACAAACCCACACACCATGAGGTCATTTATTGGCCTTCTCAAAACCGTCATTCTGTAATAATATTTCTAACTTTGGTCTAATAACTCCTTTGTCAGTATAATCCATGGTCAAATTAATAATAAAATCGTGATAGAACAAACACACATGATGAAATAAATGATTCAATCATCTTGATTGTGGGCACGAACGGAAAGACAAAGCAAGACAAATATTCAGTTGTAAAATTGATTCGACACATTCCGCACTTAGGCCTAGCCTATAATTGAGATGCCTTTCCAATACACGCACCAGTAGGGTCTGAATCATAAAACTACACATATTTGAATATAGAGCACTACTCAAGACACTATGTTGTCAAACTGTCCGATAAGCGTCTGTGCTTGCAGACTACTATACCATGCTATTCAATTTGGGATGCATTTCTGTAAGCACTAAAATGTCTGAATCATACAACTACTCAGACTTGAATACTAGTACTATTGCTACGCACGATATATGCGTAATTGTTTTGTCAAACTGGCAAATCAGAGTCTGTGTTTGAAGACTACTATGCCATCGTTTACTCGTAGAACGCGAATCGTGCACAGTAGATGCGAATACATGTACATTTCGTATGGGAAGTAGCAGAGAAATCACAAGTCCACGCGCATGCGCACATGGGGTATTTGCCCTCTCGAGTACGGAAAAAAAATTCGCGCCCGGGGTCGGTGCAGTGGCTGGCTTGCCATGCCTGATGCCTGGGCCTGGGCCTGGCCTGGCCTGGCCTGGGCTAAGTTTGAGGGGAGGGCGAGGGGGTAACTTTTTAAAATAATTTGGCGCTAGTTTAGAAGTCTATCCAAACTTTGACCCGTATAAACTCTGACGTGGAGATCAGACATAGATCTGGATGAAAGACTTCATGCATGTCTGATTGTCAATGAAACAGAGTTAGACTAAGTTCTTTGTCAATTCTGCTTGTTGCTACTGCGGCAGGCAGCCAGTGAAAACAAACTTTTTAAATCAAATTATGGAAATTCAAGCATCACTTTAAACAAACAGAACTTTGTTATTCCTTGCTCATTTTTTTCTGATTGAGGTGTCATATGAAAGGGCAGAAACTGAACTTTCTAGAAATGTGAAGTTTTCTTCGAAATTCAGATAGAGTAAAGGAGCCGGTAATCGGCCAGCTCCAGTTTTCGGCCGATTGGTTGGATGCAAGGTAAAATCCCTCTAAAATACATCGCATAATAGCATAACACATACCATACCATGCCAGTGTCACTGAAGAACCACATTTTCAATGAAAAATATAGATCTATCCTAAAAAAAATATCACATTTTAGCGATGTAATCGGCGGTCCCGCTACCCGAATCTGAAAAATCAAGTATCTTACGCGTGTCTGTAAGAAATATGGATACCATAAAATGAGCTTTATTTCAAGTATTTTTCAGATTTAGAGCCCGATTTTGTGCTAGTCGCAAGCTCAAAAGGATCTCATCGCATGTATTAAATCAATGCAACCGCACACCGCAACGCACACACGATATCTCTGTCTAATTCAGATTCCAATATCCGATCACCGCAGTACTAGTTTTCGGCGTGGGATATCTGCTCCGCCCGCTAGTGCTATAGATCAGCGCGGAAACGCACGGCGCGTGCGCGCGCTTCCTATTGACTTTGTACATGCGGCCGAAAACTGACTCCGAAACAGTGAAAATTGAAATGAATATTGTCATGGCAATTCGTGATTTTTTTCTGGGATTCTTGTTTTGTTTAAATAATAATAATATTTGCTTCATGATTTGAACGAAAAATGATAATAAATAGGAAGTAAAGGGTCCAAAAAATAGGATTTTGTCTTAAGTGGCCGAAAACCGGCTCCTTTACTCTACCGCAAGCCAAATGTCTTTTTGGTTTCCTTCCTTCAAATTGCTTTTAATCACTCGTGCGTGAAATATGCATCATACGAGTTGCATCAAATGAAAGAGGAGGATCTAAGCTTCACAAATATGTGTCATTTATTAATTATAATTGTGATTTAAGTTATGATAAAACATTGAAAATTCTTGGTTTCGTTTTTTCTGGATCGCACTGTATTCAGTATGTGTAATAAATAATTTTTACATGTACATGTAATATGTGTTTTCTTTTGTTTTTGTTATAAAGTTTTTACCTATTTAATATTTAACATAAATACATACATGTTCTTAACTTATAATATTTTTTATACTTTGTTTTGTTTTTAATATATACCAACAGATTTTGATGATCATAACTGATTTCAATTGTTTATCTTTTAGGCCTATCAATATAGTTTTAATTAATTTAAGTGTTTTTAGCTTATTTTCTATATATTGTTGTGTTATGTTTGTAAATTTGTCAGTGTTTTATTACTTTTGTTTATTGCTTTTTATCAACACGGCCCTGATTGAAACCAGTCTGCAAACTATTTCGGGCTTTTACTGTGTATAAATACAATAAAGTCAACTCAACTTTTCTGAGATACATGATCATACATCAACCATATGAATTATTGTCAAGAGATAGTGACTTTTACATTTTTTGTCATTCTGTTCTGCTAGATTGACCAGTACATGGACGAGAGGGTGATAGCAGAAGCTTTCAGTATGATGGGGGAGCATGTAATGTCAATCAAACTTCTCAAAGATTTCAAAACAGGGTAAGTATGTATGTATGTGGTGGTGGTAAATACTTGACTGCTAAGAAAGCATAAATGCTTGTACAATGTAAGTAAGCACCAGATGGCTGACGGCTTTAGGTCCTTTCCGAGGGACCTGGTAATGAGGATTAATGCTTTTCCAAAGGGCACTAGCGCATTGACTTGTTTTCGAATCCGTCTCACTGGATTATGAGACCATTGCTCTACCTACTGAGCTATCGCGCCTCCTCGTAGACTATTCCATTTGCCATCTAGGGGTTCCGATGAAGTAGATAATGAGGGAAGTAGATGTGATGAGAGAGAGAGAGAGAGAGAGAGTAGAAGCACTGGGTATGACAGAAGAGCATGTGTTATCAGCCAAACTTATTCAAGATCACAAAACAGGGGAAGTGTTACATGTAAGTGAACTATTCCATTAGCCATCAGGTGGGTGAGGGGAGAAGAAATTTAACATTTCTCTTTGATTTGCTGCTTAAAGTGGTCCAACGATACTGTAGTAGTGTTATAATCTTCATTTTTCCCCTTGGTACTTTGTGCATAATCTGTTTTTTAGGACTCCATACAATGTACAACTTCATATGGATAGCACCATTAAAATGGCATGTAAAAATGTTCTTGTGAATATTAAGACCTCAAGTATTTCACATCACACTTTATTTGGCATGTGTTATCTCAACCAATTCCCCCTTTTGTACTATGATTGTGTCTGAATTTCTTATAACTGTGTGAGCTACCTCTAGTCATCTACAATCATCAATAATAAAGACAAATTTGATAGAGTGATGATAATGATAGTCCTATAACAAATTAAAAAACAGCACAGCTCCCCTAGTTTCAATTTGCAGTAGCTGTTGTAAAAGGATTATATATGTACCACAAGTAATCTAATGTTGTAGTGAATTCTTTGTTGTTTCTATCTTTTTATTGTACAATTCAGGCAGAACAGGAATTACTGTTTTGTTGAGTTGACAAGCAAGGAAGCAGTAGCTCTCGCCCTAAGAAAACTGATCGGTTTGCCGCTACCAAACTATCCTGCAGTAAGTCATCTTTCGCTTCCTGTTCCTTTAGATCTATTCATATTGTTTTAGGCCCTGAAACCTTTGCTGTGTTGTAAAAGTTTGTAAGCAATTCATGATTTTGGACATGTTGCGAGATATGTTTATTTCTCAAGCCTGCTTGTTCACATACCCTGCTGTTTAACACTATATTTGCTAAGCAAACTTATACTGCACTTCATATTTTTGTATCCTATAAGACAAAGAAAGGCTAAGTTGGTATGCGTAGGACCTTTGTTGCGTAAGACTACTTATTTTTACCCCCTCTTGAGATTCATGTAGAACACAGAAAGGACTACCTCTGTTTACCGGGACATATGTGAATTGATAATCTTTAGGGGCCCTCAGAAATTAGTAAGGTATGATCTCCAAACCTGCTAACCAGTACGATTTAGTTGTATTTCGTACGATTTTTAGAAGTAAATTCGACAATATGATTTTCCTAAATGAAATACAATTTTCCAACAAAAAACAAAAACAAAAACAAAAATATTTGTTTATTTATTTATTATTATTATTATCATTATTAATTTTTTTTTTTTTTTTTTTTTTTGGGGGGGGGGGGTTATTTTTTTTTTTGTGTGTGTGCCATTATCAATGATAAAATGCTCATTCTGTCCCATAAAGTATCCTACAAGCATCTCACATCTGCAATTTGGTGATGTTATTTAGTTCATCAAATACACCATGACAGAATCATGCATGTTCAACCAATGATCCATAAAAAAAATTCTTCCTGTATGTAGGAACTTATGCAAATTGGTAACACCCCCCCCCCCCCCCCAAAAAAAAAAAAAGAGAAAAATGCATGTTCACGGTAAGAAAGTACTTATGGATCAAAATACAATTTCTGTCAGTAAAATACAACTTTTGGGATTAAAGAATACAGTTTTTTTTTACTCTAGAGGTTGGCAGGTCTATATCTCCAATCATCAAATAGAAATTAATTGTCAAAGCACTATGTTTTATGCAGGATCCTGTGGAAATCACTGAAATTTCGGTATGAGGTTTTGTCTATATTATCACACAACGTGTAATTTTTTGAGCAGGCTATTGTACTACACCATTCACCATGAACATGACGGACAAAGAAAGCGGACAAAATATACAGTTCCTCATTCTACCCTCAACAATTGCTGTGGTAGACAAAGGAACATCCCTTCACTGCTATTATGTAAACATGTGTAGAACAAGTGTCACATGCATATTCACCTGTTCTACACATTTGTACATAATAGCAGTGAAGGGATGTTCCTTTGTCTACCACAGCAATTGTTGAGAGTAGAATGAGGAACTGTAAATTTTGTCCTCTTTCTTTGTCTGTCATGTTCATAGTGATTGTATCATCATTTTCATCAATCTCTCTCTGTGTCATCTGTAGAAGCGGTTCAAGTTGAACTATTCTCTCCGTGACCAGAACACGATGCCCTTCCCACAACCAGGAGGACAGGGAGCCCCTGGTCCTTCTGCCCATGTCCCTTACAGGTTAGTCTGGCAATTAAAGATAAATGTTGAATACAGGGTGGTGTTTCACAAGATATTAAGTCGAACTTAACTCTGAGTTGCTGTTGGACTTAAAGATCAAGACCAGTTAGACCTAAAATAAAAACTTGTTGTTTTGCCCTTTGGGACCGACCCAAAAATCTGAAAATCTATGGTTGGCATTTAAATTTTTTTTTTTTTTAACCGTTCTTTAGATTTTTTCTTATTAATGAATAAAAAAAATATGTATTTTGTATGTTTAAATGGGATATAAATGCATAAAATCAAATTATTCCAAAATTCTCACTCGTGCAAACCATGGATGATATGAGGTGAAAAAAGATATCATTGGAATGATGACGATGAAACACATGTATTAAAGCATTAAAAACTGAGATATATCAGCCAAAAGAGGGCGAGGAAAAAGGAGAAACAAAACTCTGACCGTACGACCCATGTTTTGGCACCCAAAGGGCAATACAACAAGTTTTTATTTTCAGCCTTATGGTCATGCGATTGCATTGTGAAAGAAACGTTGTGGAATCGATCAGAAAAGGTTGATCATCTAGCTTATAAGTATTTGTGTGTATTGCAACGTTGGGGAATCATCCAAATGATTAAAGAAATTTGGCTAAGTCTTGGTAAAGTTACAAGCACTTTATGCAAAAAGATGTATATGGGACTACACGAACACATGGTGTAAAAATCTGTCCCGATTTTTACAATGTTACATGCCATATTTAGAATATGAAGGCATTTGAAGAGCCATACTTTCCAGGGAACATGTTTTATCTGATGTTCTTCCACATTTGCATAATAACAATGATAAAGCTCACAAATTATTTTTTCGCCTCTTCCCAGAACTCAACCTTCTCTTTAAAAATTATGGAGAGCCATTTGTAGCCTTAAAAATATATATATTCAAAATCCAAAATTCAAGTATTATAGACTTTTCATAAAATTCCACATCAAGAACATAAAATCTTCTTGATAATAGAAAATATGAATGATTTGAATCAATATTTTTTATGCCTTTGAAACTAACTTTTACAAATATTTTCAAATATGATAACGGCTTTCCATAATTGTTAAGTCCAATTTAGAGATGAGTTAGACTTAGGATCTTTGTGAAACACCCCCCCCCCCCTTCCTGGTCATGCAATTGCAATGAAAAGGAAAATGCTCAAGAAATTTGAGAAAGGTTGTCTGTTTATATGCACAGTGTAACTGGAGCCAATTTAGAATACCCCAATGCAGAACGGACCATACGTTCGTAGGTAAATCAATGCTTTACAACAAAGCTAAATTTAAAGACACTAAGTTTCTTAGGTAACACTTACCCTAATCCTAACCCTAAATCTAACCATAACTCTACCCCTAAGACTCACAGTAGGTGTTAAACATTCATAAACCCTTTTGGTGGGGTACTCTATAGTTAAACTGTGTAACATGCTTTTGAGACCACCTGTCAGTCAGAAAAAAATTGTTAAGTTTCTCTTGAAAATCCTTTCTGATCCTTCTTAATTCTTTCTTAAGACTCGGTAACAAATGCCATTTTCAGACAATGGAAATTCGGGAAGACAATGGAAAAACGGAGATTCGTACGAAATTATCGTTCGTACGAACCTTTGTGACCGTAGCATTACATTAAAGGAACCTGTACAGAAAGATTACTTCATTTATCTCCCTAGCCGGTCTTTATATACAGGTTTCATGGTAGAACTGAAGAATGATTGTATATTTTGACCGCATATGTACCATCAAAATTATGACAATTTCACTAAGAAATTTTGCAGAACATCACTGCACTCCTAAGTTGGAATATGGGACTAGTTACCTATTGATAAACATGGCATCAAATTTATCAGCTTTATTCATCTTTTCTAAATGGCATTATGTGCATAATATCCACTTAATTACTACTTGATAATGTGAAATTGGAGACTTATTTATGGACTAACCTTGCAGTTCTTTTCTTTTTTATTTTATTTTAGCAAGGAGTACTCTATCTATGTTGGAGGCCTCAACACCAGCACAACAGACGAAGAATTATTAGCTCTTTTTGCTCACTACAAATCTATCAAGGAAGCAAAGAGTAAGAAAATCTCATCTTTTTTTCTTTCTTTTCTGATACTAGTTTCTGGAAGTAATTTAGAATTCATGGCATTTTGAGCACTTGTGTCGTAGTAAATTCAGCTCTCGGTGAAATTGTGATTTGGATATCTGCTTGATGCATACAGTATGTCCTTTGACAAGGCATTTTGCTTACAGTTGTCTCTCTCCACTCAGGTGTTGAATGAAAACTTGACAAGATTTTCTCCATGTGCATTGATAGCCCTTCCGGGATTCTGAATCTAAAGCAATGAATATAATTTCAAAAGCTATTTGGAATCAAATTGGGATGTTTTATATATCGTTATCTGATAGGTGTTGTACAAGAACAGAGTATTTTTTTAAAGTTAATATTCCTACCACAACAGCATCGCCCTTTGGCAAGATATGAGTTGACCTTTGCCTCACTTGACCCAGGTGAAGTAATAATATAATAATATTTGGTTGTTGTAAAGCGCATAGCACATTGTATAACATCTCTATGCACTTCCAAAGAGCTTTGGAAATTATTACCCTCGCTATTTGGAATCAAATTGGGATGTTTTATATATCATTATCTGATAGGTGTTGTACAAGAACAGAGTATTTTTTTAAAGTTAATATTCCTTCCACAACAGCATCGCCCTTTGGCAAGATATGAGTTGACCTTTGCCTCACTTGACCCAGGTGAAGTAATAATATAAAAACATTTGGGTCTTGTAAAGCGCATATCACATTGTATAACGTCTCTATACACTTCCAAAGAGCTTTGGCAATAATTACCCTAGTTTTAGCTCCAGCAGCCGTAATCAGCGCACAGTACATTTCAAGGAATAATCCTACCAGGTGCCTATTGACCTCACCTGGGTCAAGTGTGGCAAATGTAGATTAATATCTTGCCAAAGGACATTAGTGCCGCGCCAGGACTCGAACCGTGGACCTTGTGATCCACAGTCCGTTGACGTATCCACTCGACCACGACACCTCTATTCGGTACTAGTAGGAAGTAATTCCTTTACTGCTTCAAGCGTTCAACAGGGCGGCTTGGCTAAAGCCGGGTGATTTTTCCAAAACGCTTTTAAAGTGGTATGTAACATGAGTTGTACAGGAATCAAGTAATATTCATGATGACTGTTTTTTGGTATTAACTGGCATTGAATACGTATCCGAATTCTGGAAGCCTGTCACTTTGTTCATTTGACTGTCAAAAATCATTCATCTCTTTGTCTACTCTTTCCAAAGTCGTCCGAGATGAAGGTACGAGGTCAAAGGGCTTTGGCTTTGTCCGTTTCTTCAACGAGATGGACCAAGAAAACGCTATCATGCAGATGAATGGAGCTGTAGGGCCCATGGGTGTTACATTGAAGGTAGACAAGGCCATGCCAAAAAGGTAAATAGTCCCTCTCCCTCTCTCTCTCTCTCTCTCTGTTTCTGTCTCTTCCTTCCACTATCTCTTTTTATCTATCTCTCTCTCTCCCTCTCTCTCTCTCTTTCCGTCTCTCCCTTCTATTCTTCCTTTCATTCTCTCTATCCCTCTCTCTCTCATTTTCTTTCTCTCTCTTTCTGTCTCTTCCTTTCATTCTTCCTTTCTCTCTCATTTTATTCTGAATAGTGTGTACTGGTATTGTATGTACATGTATATTATAATCATTTTCAATGTGTTGTTACACTCTTTGTAAAATGAGATATTGTGGAAACCAATAAACTATCTTATCTTATTTTATTTCTCTCTCTCTCTCTCTCTCTCTCTCTCCCTCCCTCCCTCTCTCTCTCTTTCTGTCCCTTTTTTCATTCTGCTTTTCTCTCTCCCTCTCTCTCATTCTCTTTTTCTCTCTTTCTGTCTCTTCCTTTTATTCGTTTATTCTCTCTCTCTCTCTCTCTCTCTCTCTCTCTCACGCTCTCTCTTACTTCTTTGTCTTGCTCTGTCTGTCTCTATCTCTCCTACTTTTTTTGTCCACAACCAAGTGAGATATAGTGCCAAACATTATTTTTCATGTAAAGTTTGTATAAAGTTCACAAAATATAAACAAAAAATAAAATCATTCTTGAAAAGAGAATTGTTCTGCATATTGCTCTTCATGAACTGATATTTTGGATGGAAAATAACACTTTAAAAAATTTCAGGTTATGCAAATCTCTAGTGCAAAATACAGGACCTACGTTAAACTTGTATCCATTGGCACCACAGTCAGATAGTTAGAAAGTTTACATCTTAGATATTTGAACCAGTTACAGACTTCCTTCAAGTAGATGTTAATCATAATGGTAACATTTATATAGCACGTCTTCTCAAGTTTCTAAGCCCTGTACTATTACTACCACCCAGGCATTAGACAAACGGCCCTTAGAACGCGCTCAGGCATTTCTTTCAAATTTCTTCATACCAGGTACCCGTTAACATCACCTGGGTGGAGAGTAGCCAATACAGATTACTGTCTTACCAAAGGACATTAATAATGGCAGAAAGTATCAAGAAATAGAGAAGACTTTGTACAAACGATTTATCTCTGATTTTAAAACTACTGAGAGATAAATGTGTCCCCTTTTACATCACCTGGATGGAGAGTAGCCAATACAGATGAGTGTCTTGCCAAAGGACATCAATGTTGGAAAAAAGTATCAAGAAATGAAGTTTAATTCCAAAAGACGCTAAATCCATTTTTGTAACTTCTGGAAAAAAAAAAAATTACCAGATTTTGTACAGGCGTCTATGGAAAAGTGATAATAGAAGGAGTTTTTTTTCATAACTGCTCCAAAAATGTAGGTAAATAATTTTGTTGAAAGACGGTACTTACGTGAACAATGTTCTGATATTGATAACTACATTTTTTCAAAAGTGGATTTAGCTACTTTTGGAATTAAAGGCATGCTTTACTACTTCAGCTAGAAGGGATTAGACCACCCAGCGAGCCAGTGAGGTCACTGTGACAGGTGGTTATCTCATTAACTCAGCTCTCATTTAACATAAGAAAAAGGGGATCATGGGGGACCAACAGGCACCGATTGGGGAAGTTTTCTATATAGAGGGAGCAAGTAGCTACATGTAGGACAGTGTGCCTTTAAGCTCTCCAAATAGAGACGACTTTGTACTGATGATTTATCACTGATTTTGAATTTAAACTACAGAGAGATCAATGTGTCTGGAGGGGGTGGTCCGATGCCCATGTCGACGGGGGCGGCTGTCGCAGCCCTGGCTTCACAGTACGCTCAGAACGCTCAGCAGTACCCCTACCAGAGTGGGGTCGATCCCTACGCAGCTTACCCTCAGATGGCCCAGCAGCAGCAGGCTTATCAGCCACACCACCAACCACAGGTCCAGCAAGCACCACATGCCACACCGGCACCACAGACACAGACACCGCAACCTGTTGCACAACCTCCTGCAGCAAAGGTTGGTTTAGTGCAAAATGATATTGATAATGACGATATACAGCTACACTTACATATGCATTGTTATATAGGAATGTCTTTTAAAGGGGGTTTGGCATGGCAAATACTGGTTAATACGACTTCTTTTGGACAACTGCATATAAACGAATATCGTTCGTGAAACAGACCAAAGTTTTAAATAACAAAAACTGTCATTTGTCACTGACAAGTTTTGTGAAACACCCCCCCCCCCCCCCCCCCCCCAGTTTTATGAGTCCATAATATGAATGCAATGATGGTATTTTAAAAACATTTGACTTGTAATGCTTTTCCGTTTCTTTTCTATTCTTTCTTTTCTGCAGACTGAAGACGAGGATGAGGTGTTGGAAGGTAAGTTTGGGTACAATAAGCAACCCCTCAAACATGACAAGTAGGTTAGTGTACCTCTGAGATGTTTGGAGGACTACCCAGTAATAAATCTCACTACTTCAATTTATCTATTTTTCATCAGATTTTGCTCAAAGTATCAGTGATTGGTTTCTCTAAGTACAGTCAAACCTTTCTGCAGCCACCGCTCAAGGGAAACCCCAAAAGTGGTCTTTGTAGACAGGTTCCTTTAGTACATGTTTCAATGAGAAACCATTTTCAAGGGAAATAAAAAATGTGGTCCTTGTAGATAGGTGGTCTTTGTAGACAGGTTCCTTTAGTTCATGTTTCAATGAGAAACCATTTTCAAGGGAAACCAAAAATGTGGTCCTTGTAGACAGGTGGTCACTAAAGCAGGTTTGACTATATTCCGCTTCTATCAAAATACACTTAATATCAGGGTGGACTTTGGTAACAATGTTCAGATAAGAGAAAATGGTGCTAGGGTAGTAACTTCAATGTTAGATGCACAATTAAAGATATCTGAAATTTTTAGTAAAAACAGACCATTATTAATGATAATAAATTAAGAAAAACTGATCTGATCAATTTCTAATTTCTCCTAACTACATGTTTATTATTATTATTAAATTAAATTTGAGGTGAATGTAATTGACACAAGGCAATGAATTGGCTCCATGTAAGTGTTGAAAGATTTTTATGGAAAACTGGTTGGGATAATTCAAAAATGGTTTGGATAATTTACTGTTAGAGGGAGTTACACATTATCGCCTTCAAAGAAAACCATAAATATCTTTGTGGTTTGGGATTTTTTTCTTCAGGATATTTGCAAGTTAGGGGTTAGTGCAGTAGAAGGAATATAATAAGTAACATTTCATTAAAAAATGAGGCAGTTTTCTCATCAACCTCCAACAATGCTACCGGTTCACTTCAAAGCCCCTCTAAAGTGTTGGGAGCCCCAAAAATTTAATGCCAAAATTTCACTTAAATTGTACCATAATGTGAAAGAGGATGTCATTTAAGACACATTTCTCCAACGAATTTCCCAACAAATGTGTTTGAAGTCGAATATAAATGAAAGAATACAAAATTCATTTTTTCTGCATACAAGAGAAAACCCAAAGTATGTATTCTTTTATCAATATTTGTCTTCGAACACATTTTTTTAGTGGGAAATCTTTGCAGGAGTGTGTCTTAAATGACATCCTCTTTCACATCATAACACAATTTAAGTGAAATTTTGCAATCAAATCGTTGGCAAATTTGGGGCTCCCAACACTTTTAGAGGGGCTTTAAATGCTTTTGATACAGTCAATTCTCAGACCCTAGGTGTCATTTGAAGTAAAAATGTTGTCAAATTTTATTCCATACAAACACTGAGAATTGGACATTTTATTCAAGCAATCTCTGTTTGTCTCCCTCTCTCTCTCTCTCTCTAGATCACAGTGCCCCAGTCAATATGGTGGCCACAAACCTAGCCTATATTCAAGCCAACCAAGATTTCTACAAGAAGCTTGCCGAGTCTCGCTGGCATCCTGTCACTTCGTACACAGCCACGTTAGAAGAAGTCTGCAAGTAGAGGGCGCTAGTAACTATCCCCATAAACAGCCTCTGATTCTCATCTTTAATTAATCCAAGACTGTACACAGGGTTAATTGGATTAGAGAAAGTTACAATAAGTACATTTCAAAAGGAATACTAGGGAGGGGTGTGGGGGGGATTATCAATATCTGTGAGATATAAAAGTCAGCAACTTATTGTTTGCTACCCCCAAAAGGTGCAACAAATGGCACCTTTTTTGTTTACTTAAAAAAAACAATTTGGGGGAATTACTTTCTAACTCTTTACTTGTTTGGGTCGACCCATGGGACAAACAGTGTGGACTGTCATAATCAACTGTTATCACACATAACTATGAAGTATTTGAATATCAGCCCGCTTATTATTTCTTACTTTGAAAGGTGCAAGTAATGACAATTTCGTTTTTATTGTTCTAAGATGAAGATAGAGTATTGGGAAACCAATTATTTAATATGTACAGACTTTGGTTGACAAATGGCACAAACATTGGACTGCTGCAGTTGACCTTTACCACACAAGCAGTCTGCATGTAAATTAATACACAATACAATATGGCTGTCTAGCTTTCAACCTAACAGGCTAAGGCAAATAAAAGAGTTAAACAAGAGTTAAACAGAGTCCCAAACACTACATTCCGTTCCAAGTAAATGGGATAAATTTGTTGAATCATGCTTGACAAGCTACAGGCATGTATGTCATGACCATTTGGAGCTTTTATTTTTCTCTTGTTTTAATCAGTGAGACAAAATTTGTTCCATGTATGCTGTATGTTGTATATACCATTTTCATAGTTTTTCTTAATAAAAACTGTTGTTTGTAAATACACTGAACATCGCTTATTGAATTATCATTGTGTTATATTTGAAGATGGAGAATAAACCCCTTCATTGAGATTATATATTTATGAAGAAGGTAATATAACAAAAAAAAACAGACTTTTAAAGTTCAGTAATAATAGATAACAAATATTTAGTTATGCATGTTGAATGTTAGTTTCTCTCTTGGGTCTTGACGATGATTTATGTGATATGAGATTATTGGAAATGGGGAAACTCTTTATTTGTTAGGTACAAAGATTTATTTTCAAAAATTCCCTTTTCTATATATGATGAGAAAAGAAAGAGGGAGAGAGAGAGAGATGAGAAGAAGAGAAGGAGAAGAAGAGGAAGAGGAGGAGAAGGAGAAGTAGGGGAATAAGAAAGAAGAGAAGATATAGAAAAGACGGACAGAGGAAGAGGAATATGGAGAGGGAAAATGGGCTAGGAAGGAGGAAGAGAAAATAAAGAAGGAGAGAGAGTGAGAGAAAAAGAAATAAGAAAAGGTAGAGAAGTAAGAAAGAATGAGAGGTCTGGTTCTGTTATACAGTATCTTGTCACTATCTGTTTCCATTTTTTTCTACCAGCCTCTTCAGTGACTGCAAAAGAATTCAATTGATCAATACTTTTTCTTCAGTATATAAAAATAAATAAAGAGGACTGCATTGACGGGAGGATACCACATCTAAATCTACCATATATATATTTTTAAAATCTAGAATGTTAAAAGAAGTTTGAGGGCGTTGCAGGGACTCCAAATTGTAAAAGGGCTAAAATGTAAAAAAAAAAAAAAAAAAAAAAAAAAAAATCATGTTTAAAAAAAACTGTTCTTAAAATATGGCGGCAAAATAATAGTCACTTTTTAAATTTGAATTTTGCAAGTGGCAGTGTTTTATTCATCCAATTGGTGGTGTATAAAATGAGGGCTTGAATTTTCACTCAGAAAGAGAAAAGCGCAGAGTCATTTAATCTTTTTTTTTTTTTAAATGAATAAAAAATAAATAAATAAAAAATCGCAAATATTTCCATAAAATCATCTTTTTGCTACGGATAAATATTGCGATGAGTTTTCGAAGGATTGCGAATCCCTAATAGGGACTTAAAGTAAACCCGGACCTATTGGGAATATTACCGTTTGGACAATATTATTACCGAAACTGATAGAAACTGACAGAACGCAAGAAAAGTCAACTTGAGTTATGAGTACAAATTCCACTCTATATTCTCTCTTTTTCGGTAATCCCGGACACGATTGGGAATTTTACCGTTTGGACAATTACCGAAACTGATAGAAACTAACAGAACGAAACAAAAGTCAAGTTATGAGCGCAAATATGTGCCAACTCGATTCTTAAGCAAGATAGAAGAAAACAAAGAAAAGAAGAAGAAGTAGAAGAAGAAAACCGATTCTAATGGGATGAAGGAAAACATTCGGCGGACTTCTCTCTTAATCCCACGAATCCACCTCACAATTGATTTTCGTGACATTCGGTACATGTACATACATGTTGTTGCCTTTCCCCTTAAATTACGAAAATTTAGAATAGGCTAGTTGAAAAGTGACGGAAAAATTGGTAAATGTTGGATGCATGAGTCGTAAACAAAACTATTAGCAATACAACAGAAAAACAAGCGGACTTTCAAAAATACATAAGCATGATAAAGTAAATTGATCTTGTATTGCTATTAAAGGGCATTCGACCTCTTTTACATGTATTAACTCCTTTAGTATGAAAGCAGAAAATTAAAATAAACAGAATGGCGAAAGTTTGAAGTAAATCGGACCGATTAAAGAAAGATAACATTACAATAAGTCTATGCGAATCTCAAATTTGCATTTTGGTCAGTGGATTGTGACGTAGTTGTATATAACTCTCCCGTTCGTCGTCGTGTACAAAATTGTCATATATATCTGTTTTCTCGTGGGCACTACTCAAAATATATTGTGGATATCATATCATTATAGGTCTATATCCTCCTGAAATATTAGTCATGTTGTGCGTTGAAGCAAATTGCCAATGGAAAGTTGTATATGCCAATAAATCACAGAGACATTAAGGCCCGAATTCACAAAGCAAGGTTTGAGCTCAAACCTCCTTTTGTTTCGCCAAACCTCCTTTTGTTCTTTACAAACCAGGTTTGTAAAAAAAACGCGTAAAACGCGTCATATGACGTACGAAAACCAAGGTTTGTCGACAAACCTCCTTTGTGAATTCGGGCCTTTGTGTTTGGAACTTTCATCATTTAATAACTTTCTCATTTTTGTCTGATTTCATTCAAACTTTCACCAGCCTACTTCTTTGATTTTGCCGCTCTGCTATCAAGGTTGGATTTCCCTTTAAACTTGCACTGTCCATATCATAAAACGCACGCCTAAAATCTTTATCTTATCTGTCTCTATATTTCGATTTTTTTTTTTTCTGTAGAATGCTGTTTCCTTATACTGAATTTCTTACCAAACTCCCAGCTATTGCAGTGAATTTGGTATTATTCTACATCATTGGGCTCAGTCATGAACAGAATTTCCATTATCACAATGAAAGTCATACTCCCAAAATGAAAGAAAAAATTCATTTCAGTTTTCTGTCGTAATTTCCACCTCAAAATTATACCGGTTCTAAAAACATATTTTATTGACATTCCTACCATTCTTTTCTAGTTCACATCAACGATTCACCTGTATTTTCCCCAATCATTTCCGATTGGTATTTCACACTAGTCAGTACAAACAAATGTGTTATTTTCCCTCAGATCGGTGTTCATAATAGAGCATTATGACTTGTAACCAGTTTGAGGAAACACCCTTCATACAAAACCAAGAGGTGGTGAATACAAAAGCCTGTAAAATTATATCCGGGTTAGGGCCTCTTATTTATTCAACAAATACCTTTATAGCTGACACGTCGCGTAAGGCGAACGAAAATGAGTATTCTATTTTTTGATGTCTTCTCCGACTTTATTGATAATTTTGATATTTATAGATGTGTGCTACAGTCTAGCACCTCCAAACAAAGGCGGACAAGACTATGGCCTATATTTAAGGAATGAACGCCTCAATGTATATTCTCATGCATGCAGGCATATCAGTGCGGGAATTATGATACAGTTTTCCCTAGTATGTTTCCTGGTAATTTGTTACTTCATCTTAAAGACTAAAACAATTTGAAATATTTTGTTTAAATTGTGTTGAATTCATATCACTCAAGCTAAACAAAGCATCGGATATTCTGTCGAAAATGGAGAAAAGCACTCATTTAGCTCTTGAAGGTCAATATTCCCTTCGGAAATTGACGTAGGTCTACATGTATTTGAATATTTTTTGAACGAGACTCATAATTCAGGTGAATTAGGGAATTTATGATTCAACATCCTGATTAAATTGTTTTTTTGTTTTATTGATTTTCAATAACGAAAAACCATGAGAATAAAATTGTCTGGACTTGTAAAGTTTGTGAAATATAGAGAATATTCCCTGAATAAAGTTCGGTTACGATATACTTCAGATTAAAATTCTCTTTTAACGACCAAATTTTCCCTTCCCTCCGCATTTGTATACCCTCAGGCCTTAGCCTTGTATTTTCCTTTGTGACTTGGCTTTGCATGAACTGTAGTCGACTTGTTAACAAAAGAATAACATTTACACAATTTAGATTCGGTTTCTCTTCGACATAATTATTGCTAGGCCTATAAATTATAGAATTTATGAATGAAAAACAGTGACACCTGGGATATTTGCATCGAGTTTGCACAATACAGTAGAGACTGTTATAATGAGATCCAGAATAATTTCATTTCATAATGATATATCTCGTTTCTCACATAATAAGAACATACAAGAGAGAGAAACGATAGGGAGAGAGAGAGAGAGAGAGAGAGAGAGACGGAGACAGAGAGAGACAGAGAAAGACAGAGAGACGGAGACAGACAGAGAGAGAGAGAGAGAGAGAGAGAGAGAGAGAGAGAGAGCCAGATAGACCGACGGACAGACAGACAGATAGACAGACAGACAGACAGACAGAGAAAGACAGAGGGGCTGGGTAAATCAGGAATAGTCTGATAACTTAATAGAACAGAAAAAAAATGATGAATAGGGAAAATGGGACACAAGGAGATTCAGAGGAGATAATGTATATTTTGAGAGATAAGGAGAGAGGGGAAAGAGAATGAGAGAGAGGAAAAAGTAAAGGAAGAACTATAGAGGGTGATAAAGACAGTAAGAGAGCGGGTTTACGGGAATAAAGAGGGGAAGACATGCAATTAGATAGAGAGAACGGAGGACAGGTAGACATTCAGAAATAGAGAGAGAAAGAAGATGAAAGAGGGAGAGAGAGAGAGAGAGAGAGAGACTGAGACCGACAGCCAGACAGACAGACAGAGACGGACAGCGAGACAGACAGACAGACAGAGGGAGTGGGCAAATCAGGAATAGTCTGATATGAAGAGGAAAAGATTGATGAATAGAGAAAATGAGACACAAAGAGATAGAAATACAGAGGAGATAAAACAATGTAGGAAATACATGTTGAAAGATACGGAGAGAGGGAAAAGAGAATGAGAGAGAGAGAAAAAAAAAGGAAGAGGAAGTGATGAAGAATTATAGATGGTGATAGACTGAGAGAGCGGGTGTACGGGAATAAAGAGGGGAAGACATGCCATTAAACGATAGAGAGAACGGAGGAAAGGTAGCATTCAGCGGAAAGAAATACAGAAGGAGATGAAGGAGAGAGAGAGAGAGAGAGAGAGAGAGAGAGAGAGAGAGATGGAAGGGAGGGGCTCGGTAGATGTAAATTCATAAGAATAGTTTATGTGTGATTACATGGATTTCGTACCCGAATTTTACACTTGTCATTAAGGGGATGGAAAAGTTTGTCTGAATTGCACACAGAAAAAAAAATATATAAAAGGGGAAAATCCTAACTCTTTTTTAACTATTAATTCATACATTATTGGCATACCTGTACGCTCCATTAATTTGTAATATATAATCTCTTTGTATTACGCAATGTATAGACGTG